CCCTTGGCTTTTTTCTTTTCAATGCAATCCTTTCCCCTGATCATTGTAACTCATGTTCTTTTCATGAGACGATTCCAAAACCGTTTCAAGCGCATTGATCCGAGCCAATCTAACAAAGTTGGTATTTGGAAGGCCATAAAACATGCAAGAACGAAAAATTCATAATCACTTGTATATATGAAAATGTTCTCTGAAACGTGCTCTACATTTTGGTCTTTTACTTTTTCAAAATGGATGGGATTTGATTGAGATACGGCCATTTTTCATGCAACGTGACAATGTTGTAGCTCATGCCTTTGTTTCTTCAAGAAGTTATGTCATGCCTCAAGAGTAAAATGTTCTCCGACACCTGCTCTTCATTTCCATATTTCACATTTTCAGAATGGGTGCGATTTGCATGAGATACGGTGGGTTTTATTCAAAGATGGCAATACTTAATCCCATACCTTTCACCCTTTGACACTTCATGCTGTGTATTAACAAAAAACAATCTTTAGCACTTGCTCTACGTTTTGGTCTTTTACTTTTTCAAAACGGATGCGATTTGATTGAGATACGACCATTTTCCTCTGCAACGTGACAGTGTTGTAGCTCATGCCTTGGTTTCCTTGACAAGCTATATCATGCCTCAAGAGTAAAATGTTCTCCGACACCTGTTCTTCATTTCCATATTTCACATTTTCAGAATGGGTGCGATTTGCCTGGGATACGATGGATTTCATTCAAAGATGACGATACTACGAATCAGCATGGATAATTGCGTTCGTTGCTGCCGCATAGATATATCCCATCCAATTGTAAAACACCTTTTGTCAAATAAGACCTCTCGTTAAACATTATTCTTCTCCATACACATATGAAATACACAATGTGTTTATTCGTAAACAACAACATTGATTGCTAAATCGTGGCTGCATAACTTATGGCGCAGCAAGGGATGTCCCTTGTATCACAATGGCGCCGCCATGGTGTCATTGTACAAAAGAGTCTCGCGCAGCGACACCACTTTATCACCTTTCTTATTCTCTCTTGCACAATGAACGACGACAATTCCAATGTACTCGACATTCACGTTCCACCACGGCCAGCGTTCAATGTGGACACTCTTCAAGAACAGATCGGGGTGCTCGATGTCTACAGTGAAACAAGGAACCATGGGGGGGCGTTGACTTCGGTGGATGCGATGATAGCCATGGTGCAAAACGACATTCTGACGACGACATGTTTGGAGCGTGCTTTGGCCCGAGCACTTGGAGGAGACACAGCAGCAGCCTTGAAGGAGATAGACGTGGTGATCCAGCAACAGCCTACGCTTGTCAAAGCCTACATTTATGCAATACGAATCGCGTGTTTAAACGATCTCAGACGGGGATGGTTATACTATCATCAGGGGAATGACAAAGTGGCTCGACATGTGCCTGAATTCGATACCTTCTCGATGATTGGAGAGGCTTTGGCAGCTACGATTATGAAGCAGAATAGTTGGAGACTTCCTTACGACGTCGTGGCAACCATTGTTGAGCTGCTGTCATTCGACGATCGGATCAATTTCGCTCATACCTGCACCTATTGGAAGGATTTCATACTCACTTGCCCTCAAGCCTGGAGAAGACTACATTTCAAACCTGGAACGGAGACAAAGTGGGGTGCTTGGCTCAAGAAGCATTCGGCTACAATGGAACCCTACATCCGCCATGTCATTATCGGTGATCAGCAGGTGTTCAGCAACTTTGTTATACACATGAATCATCTCGAGACGTTAGGTAAGGAATTGGTGGTAATGGTGGTGGTGGTGGAGGATAAAAAGAGGAGGATGATACTAATGCAAAGAATAGAGATTAGTGACTTGCCCAAGGATATGGGATGGTTCTACGGTGATAATATATGGCGGGACGGCGTGATTCGCGACTTCTTCAATACACGAGTACCAAGGAAGAAGAAACAGCTGGAATCTTTCAGAACTAGTGGTGTAAGTCGTATCATCCACAGGTCAATATCGGATATCCTCACCCTGAATCCCGAGCTCAAGACACTGTCGGTGGTTACCGGTTCTTATGCACAGCGTGAACACCATCCATCAATTGCAATCAAAACAGCAGCTACACTCTTCCTCAGGGAACTATCAATATTATATGCAGATCCCGATGCTCAGGGCCTTGCTTCCATCCTTGAAAGGTCACCCAATCTCGAGTCTCTTGTATATATCACCAAAGCACGTCATCCACAATCCTTTGAGATTTTACATTCCAAGTGTGAACATGTTGCGAGCACCATCAACAAGCATTGTCCAAGGATCAAGAGCCTATGTTATTTGCGAGATGATGTATCATGCTGGAACACGTTTGCCAAGGAAGCTGCTGCTGGACAAGACATCCTTGCCTATTATGACATGTCTGATACCAAAGCTGAAGACCATCTTCTTGACTTTGCCAAGCGACATCAAGATACCTTGAAAGCCATCATCATTGATCTCAAATATACCCTCCCAACCTCTTATTTTGTTCATTTCCTCCTCCACACTACACTGCCCCGGCTCACTTCACTGTACATTCGAGGAAGATTTGAATCGACAGCATCATTGGCTACCGCCGACACCCGTTTCTACCTTAGCTATTCAAAAGTTGCAAACATGATTCAACGACATTCAAAACTAAGACATGTGAGACTTGAAAAGGCGTGTGAATTGGAAAAGCCGGTGTTACAGGCCATATCCCGGTTAAATCAACTTGAGGAAGTGTCACTCGGCTTCTTTTATGTATCGCTCGCGGATCGCATGGATGATCTATCGATGTTATTGGATAAAACACAAGCAACACTCAAACGCTTTCACCTGCATGTTGGCATCAGCAATCTCAACACACATCATATCTTCAACCTTGTGGATAAATATGATCAATTGACACATTTGACATGCGGCACAAACCTCAACCTGATGCTGGATGGTATCACTGATTTCGTTCGCATGGGATCCAGCACCTTTTCTCCACCAAAGCGGTCGCGACAATTGACCTCCTTGAGACTATTGGCACCATCAGGCAACTTGAACTACATGGCATTTGAACCCATATCCGATTTGGCTTTACTCCCAAACCTCAAAAACCTGGAGATCACACATATGGCTGGTCAACGACTCTCTGCTACACTGATGGGTGCATTGGTCAGGCCTCGTCCCGATTTAACAGCACGAGTCACCTCTGGCGGTCAAGTCTATATCTATCCGAGTACAGCGGATCCTTTCGTATAATAATAGTAGTCGTAGATTGTATACCAAACATCACTCGTAGAATAAAAACGATACCAATTTGCATATAATTGCTATACAGTAATGATGATTGAAATTGTATTCACAAGAGGAATAAATAAAGGATGATTTGGGATATATATATGATAAGGAGGAGAATCATAAAGATGCTTGATGGGAGGAGGAGATAATCTACCTAAAAGTCTGTACGATGTTCAATATGAACGAACATGCCATTAAGCATACGCAATGTCAATGATGGTTCATAAGTGACTTCTTGATCAGGGGCGAGGGTGAACTTGTAGCGCTTCAATAAAAAGACAATGGCCACAAGAGCTTCAAGGGTAGCAAGGTTTTGACCAAGGCAAACACGAGGGCCAGCATGGAAAGCAGGCCATTGACCAGGGTTTTCACGTCGTACGTTACCCTCCTCATCGATCCATCTTTCAGGGCGGAAGGATTTGGCATCTGGACCCCAAACGCGTGTTGAACGGCCTTGTGAATAAGGTGACCAAGTAAAAGTGTCTCCTTTTCGCATCGGAGTACCATCGGGCAGGATATCATCTTCTAGTGCAACCTTGACATTGCTTGGAACTGAGGGATACAGACGCAATACTTCATAAAACCTACATGTTTCACAGGAAGGAGTGAGTGAATGAATGATAACATTCAGACCCAAGGCATTGGTAGGAGGTGTGAGTGTGTGGGGGGAGGATCTTCACACTTACACAGCATGAGCATAGGTCATTTTTCGAATAGCCTCGTATAATGCTGGCGAATTAGATTCGTGTTCTTCATGGATGCATTCCTTAATCTCATTCAATAATTTGCGTTCGACACGTGGGTGAAGCATCAAATTGTAAAACGTCCATGAAAGTGCTTGTGCTGTTGTGTCGCGTCCCGCAATAATAAAGTTAAGCACTGTGTCACGTAATTCCTTGTCGCTCAATGGCTCCCCACGATCATTATGAGTATTCATGAACCGAGACAAAAGGTCCTTGTGCACGGCTCCCTCTGCACGACGTTCAGCTACCATGCGATAAGCAAAGTCGTCAATGATTTTCAGGTGCTGCCGAATCGATGGCGTGTGAGGACTCAAGATGGGATGCAGGAATTCTTTCAGCCCATTGAAGGGGTCAATGAATCGATCGAGGCAATTGGCTTGGCAGATATCGAAGCTTTCAGCAAAAGGAACTAGTAAAAAGCCATTGAGTAAATCGTTCTATCGTCGCATTTCCATACGGTGAGTACCTTTTCTCTTGCTCAACAATCCATTCAATTGTGAGCCAAATCCAATACTGACAACAAAAAGAGATACACAAATGAGACCCAATGAAAAAGCCGTGGAGGAAGAAAAGAGAAGGATACTCACAGCACAAATGAATCGAGCGTAAACTTGTGCATCACATCATGGAAATCGACCGTCTTGCCATTATCAGCTTTCTTATCAAAGATGTGCTCGGCCATTACATGAAGCTCCTTGACAAAGACACTACATAGCAACATGATTTGTTACAAAGGCATCAGATGATCTTGTAGTATATACATACTCTGTAAAATGATCTCTAAAGTTGACAACGTTGAATAAAACTGAAGCCGTTTTTCTTTGGTACTTCCATCCTTCGCCGTTGGCTACGAAAATGCCATGGCCAAAGAGGTCACCCAAGGCGTCTCTCATTTGTTGCCCCTTGACATAGTTTGAAAAGTTGGCTAAATCAAGTAGCATATGAGTACATGCATTGTTATGCATCTCCCTGCCAACCTGTTACACGTACTCTTTAAAACATATTCAATGTTCTCTGGGCTGACAGATAAGACTGCAGGGGGCATGAAAATCACGGAATCGGCACTGAAAGTAGTAATAATACGCCACTTTGATGAGAATAGGACATGCATGATAAAGGGTGATGAGGATACTTTACATGGTTACGGCATCGTATTTCTCAAAGTTTTCCAAAAGAGCATCATAGATTCGGTGCTTGTTGGAGAGTTGCATCCAAAGAGTACCAATGAGTGGATGACCGGGAACAAAAGTGACGCCTTTGGGACGCTCCCTAAAGACGGCTCGATCATTGTATTTGAGAGCCAACGCACCAAGAATAGCTGCTGCTGCACCACTTGTGGCTGCTGCAATACGCAAGGTTGGATTTTGTTGTGAGGTAAAAGTATCGAGAATGGCGGACATGAAGGTGAGAAGAAGTAGAAAGGGAGAAAGGAAAGGTAACAGTGAAAGAAACAATGAGCGCGTTTTGATTTTCCTGCACACCATTTATATATTTCCCCCGTCACCCCCGCCGCTTGTAGCATTTTCCACGTGCCTCGTCAACGTACTCCTGGGTTATGGCGTAACGCAGTAAAATCAACATCTCATAATCGTAAATTCGCCTTATGAATTAGAGCATGGATAGGCCTTATTGCATTCATTCAGCCACGTATTACATCGGCGTTCTTGACAGCAAATCCCAGATCGGTGGATTGGTATCCAGGGCCATGCTTATTGTTTGGAGTGTCACACAAGCGAAACATAACCGGCACAAACACGTCATTCGATCAAAGTGGATGTCATAATCCTGATTTACCCTTTTATGATTCTATTCAACAGCAGCTCCTCATTCCGATCCAATACCTGACGCGCACGGTTCTTGTTTACAGTATTAGTAGACTTTAGAAGACGACATTGCAATTTTCTCTCCTCTTGATGCACACAAAAAGCCCGTTTAACCATCCTACACGCTGATGAGCGACAACATCATGGCTTGGTTATATTTGCATGATAGATGAATCCTTTATTATCCTTCCAACAACAATGATTAAAGATTATGCATAAAACAACATGTCAAATGGCCATTCTTAGATTGAAATTAAGCTGTCTTTATTACAAGATGATCATCTTTAAAGAAGCGATGGCTCTTCATCCATAGATTTCTTAATGCGTAATAGAATCGTGGTCTTCCAGTGATCCAACTTGGTCAATTGGTCGAATTCAAATACTTTTTGAGTGAACAATTCAACGTCGCCATTGTCAACGCAGTCAAGGATACCCTACCAAGAAGGAAAAAAGAGTCCATGTGAGTATCACACGCCACCACCATCATCCCTTGGGAATCCCTAGATTGATCCTCACCACTAAGAACTTGTATTCACGCGTGTTCTCAAATGACATGTCCATATTGCAATACTTGTCTAGAGCTTGTCGAGTCCGTACGAGGTCCTTTTCAGGGGTGTTGTGAGATTGCATGATAAAGTGGGGGAGATGATGGATATGTGATTGCTTACCCCTGTACATAGGTGGCACAAGCCAGCTTTCAAGAAATACTCTTTGATGGACCATTTGGTTAATTGGTTGTCAGCCGATGCTGTAGCCACTGTCTCCAAGTTCTCGATCGCCTTATCGTATTGCTCTAATTGTGCTGCAAAATGGGCCACCTTGAGAAGACATTTGTTCACCATCCTATCAAAAGCTTACACATGAGTCATCCACACACAAGTCCACAGCTATATAAAACATACGCTTGCTGATCATCAGCCATGTGCAATGTTGCAGCTTGTTCCCAGTTGTACATGGCACCTTGTAAATCAATCAAATCGGATTCATAGATCTCTGCAATTTCTTGATGATGCTTTGCAGCATTTCGGAAATGGGCACCTTCCTTGTCAATCTTGATAGCGCTGTCAAGCATAGAAATCGCCACTACGATAAAGGGGGGATGATGATGAGTGATAATCATGGTATCCTTGGTTACTACTACTACTACTTACTTTCAGGTTGATTCTTTTTGTAGCATTTGGCTGCACTTTCATAGGCTTTGGATGCGTCATACAGGGTATCGGATGTTTTCATGAAGAGCTGTGCAGCTTTTGTAAAGGCTTCACCGGCATCGTTCCCTTTTCGGTGTTTGAGAAAGCTAGGGTAAGCCTATGTGTATCGATATGCCATCTCATGACGCGCCTGGGGGCCGCTTACAGCGCTGTGCTAGCTTGAACGTATTGCCGGCTTTCTCATACAATTCAGCTGCTTCTTCTTCTTTGTTGCCACCTCCAAACCATGACCAGCTGTTTAATCGCTTGTCGGCTTGTTGCAATAACTCTTGTGCTTGACGTTCTGACATGGCGGGGTCAATGCGATGGCGATAGTAGTTGATAGTCACTGTAATGCTGTATCGGAATAGATGAGATGGGAATGTAAAGGGAATTTAAAAGTAATAAGAAGGTGTGGTCGTGTATACAAGCAAAAAGTGTGTGTGTGGCGCGAGAGAAAGAGGAGGGAGGATAATGCTGTCTCTTGAGCTACGTATGCTCGGGTCGAAATCTTGCGGCTACAAAGTCAGCCAATCAGCCATGCTTGATTTTTTCCTATGTGCGCCATCATGCATGGTGCCATTCATGCTATCGTTTCATGCTATACACAAGAAGGTGCTATTATCATGTGCCACATGCACTAGTGATGGATTCAAGGAATTATATTGTCGCCATCTATCATCACCACACCGCCACTGGTATCCATAGCAATACAACGTCCGGAGACTAGATCAATGATGCATGAGCCACCAGATCTAAGTTATAGGCACTACTGGTGTATTAATAAAGGCGCCACACAAAAAACTTGTAGTAAAGTGACACATATGGTTGCTTTAGCATTCTTCAAAACGCCGCTGACATGTCAAACAACCTTACCGATATTGCGGATCTCGTCACCTTAAATACCACAATGAATCGAATTCTTTCTTCTTTGATACAAAGACCTGCTGGCACAATTACACATGCCTTGTACAACATCCATGCAGCGCCATTTTAATCTGCTGAGCCGCACGAGTACTTGTGATACCATCCATTCTTTCTTGCTATGCTCAGCTTGGATAGAAGAAAAATATATATAGAACATAGGCCTGTGTGCAATTTGACATTTTTCTTCTTGCAAAAAGCACAATGACATCCACAAGCCAGGTAGATCACATACACTTTTTTGTAATGAAGAATGCATGCATTACTTATACTCTTCCACGACCCACAGTCCTCTCGTCCGATCTACTATCAACCTCGAGAAAGTGCAATACATGACGCTCCTATCGAACCTTATGCGCCTGGACCACCACCTCCACCTGCACGCTCTGTGGTTTTGCATTGTATGTCCCATTCCCAACACCTCCTTCTTCGCACATAGAATAGGATGATTTACTTGTTTTATTAGATGAGGACATTGCCAAACAACATCTAGGGATTATCAAGGACGGCGATGTGTATGACCTAAAGTGTGAACATTGGTATGTGTCAGATTTCCATGACAACCCTGACAAGGTCTACGGTCCCGATTTCAAAGCCGGTGGCAATAGCTGGTAAGAACAACCCCTTGGTTTTATGGATCCAAATGCTTAAAGAGTGTAATGTAGGAGATTGGTGCTCTATCCCAGAGGAAAGGACGGTCTCAGCGAACATGTATCCATCGACTTGCAGTGGACAAGCGGGATGTATGCATCCTCCTATGACCACATTCATGCACAATTTGTTATTTGTATGTCTACAATGAGTTTCCCTACCAACTATACTTGCCAGAGTAAGTCGACATTGTACACCTCTCAATGCTGCTCATTGCTCACCTGGGGATCGCATGCACGCACACAACAGGTACATCGTTTCGATTCACCAAAGCTGAAAGCGAACATGGCTTTACCGAATTTGGCAACTTTGATCACTTGACACGCAACGACTTTGACACGGGTCGTGAAGCATTTGTGAAGAACAACAGGACACGTCTTACCTGCATTATCCGTATCCTAAAGTCCACCATCGATACCAATTCTCGATACATTGGCACGAGTGCGTAAGTACATATTGCCGTCGCCATGCAAACAACAAGTTGTCCATCCACCTTACATTGATCTTGCTTGTACCAAAGTGATCCATATAACTCGAGGGCGAAAACAGGATACATTGGATTAAGGCGAATCGGCAAAACGTCCTATATGGAAGCCGTGATACAGCTACTTTTCAACATTAGAAAGTTTCGAAAAGCAATTTACAACATACCAACCGGCACCGTGGATGGCATCGTTACACCTTCAGATAGCCCAGCGCTGGCATTACAACGCTTGTTCTATCGCATGCAATTTGGCACAGATTGCCCATGTACGTTATCATGCTGCGTCATCATTATAACATCATTGTTGACTTTTCCCTTCTTTTCTCTAGCTCTTGCCGAGCTGATCCAATCCTTTGGATGGAACGACCGTGACATTAATAGCTCTGGAGGGGAAGAGTGTATTGAGTTTCTCTTGGCCTTTTTACGAAGCATGGATGATACCTATTTCAACGTAATGCATGGCGATGGATGAGATTACAAGCGTAAGCTAATTGATCATTGCATATATAGAAAACGGGCCCTTGGTCTGAAACTAGGAAGCTCTTTGGCAATGAAGTAGCACATGTTGGGAAGGAGTATTTCTTGGAATCAAGTAAGCAATGATCACCTACATACGCCAGGTTTCAGCTACTAATATGCATGCCTTTAGTGATTTCACTCGATACAACAGGATGCTCATCTATACAAGAATCCCTATCTAAAGCAACAAAGAGAGACTGGGCTTTTCGAAAACGCCTACGTATCAAGGCTCTTGCTCCAGTATTGTTATTTGAACTCGGTATTTGGAGGGAGGATTATGGACCAACGCTTCAAAAGGTAAGCATCCATTGATACGTTTTCATGCGTCGGCTGATGACACGTGTATAGATTGGCCACCATGTGTCCTATCCGCTCCACCTTAACATGAGCCCCTACACTGAGACGTTTGACAGGGACACAGAATGGGAACGATACATCTTATTTGGGTAAGCAGGAGGAGGATTGAAATGGGGTCGAGCATTGTATTCATCCGTATGTTGCTTGTAGAATGATTATGCACTATGGATCGGCCAAGAATGGAAACCATTGCACCTATATCAACGGTCTCTCAGGGCACTCAGAATGGTATGGATGATTACCTTATTATTGAACGCATTGAATGCATCGTCATTTAACAATTTAAATAATCTATCAGGCTCAAGTTTGATGGTTGGAAAGTGGAAAATGTGCCGGTGGATGAAGTCTTGAATCCTCAACAAAGGGGAAGCTCTGTAAGGCGGTACAAGCGCCATAACCCCTACGTTTTATGTTACATTCGTGAATCCCATTTGAATGAAGTGCTCTGTCATATCAAGCCTGAAGACATCCCCACTCATATCCGTAATATCAATGCCTAATAAAGACCTGTAATATAGTGTACAACACGTCCCGTGCCTGATATCGATGATCTTGTGATCCTGTTTTATGCCGCTTTGCTGCAACAATGATTCATATGATCGTTACACAGATGACGATAAGCTATGAGCCAATTCTGGATATATGATCTTTACTACTTGAAAGGATGATAAAGGGGTATTAGTCATTATAAGATCTCTCGAATTGCTGAAAACTTAAGGAAGCAATACAATGAAATCACAACAATGAGGGTGAATGAGCCACCAGAGGCAACCAAAAATACACTTTATTCAGGTGACATGATTTAGCGTGCCATAGGATGATACGCATGAGCCCAACACGTGAAACATTAGCATCATTGCTCACGATATTAGATACATGCTCTAACCAAGCCCAGAGTATACGTCAATTTGCTATATCCAAAAGAAGAATTGATAAGCGAAAATGCAATGTTGGTGATGGTAAAAACTCAGCAAATGTAAAAGCGGATAAACCATTGTCTTCATGCAGGGTTTTCATATACAAATAGAAGCGGATGGATGGGTTTATAACAGTAAATGCATGGGGGAGTAGTGTGTGTGAGTGAGTGTCTATAATTGTATGGTAACGTCTACTGCAAATACTTTCCGTAGATATTCTTGATTTGCTCCATGAACACAAACATGAGTGTAGTGTGTGGACTAAAAGGGAAAAAAGTTAGCCCTAATGATGATCATCAGCCCCATACACACGCAACCCAATAATTTACCCGATCCGAAGATAATGTGCGGAGAATCCCTTGTATAGACCTCGAATACCCTCTGTTCTTGTCAACTTTAAGAAGCAATCCACCGGGCTGTTGTAGAGTAAACCACGTCCAGTCACTGGATCAACACCTTGATTGTACATGCGAGTAGAAATGACATCGAATGGATTCATGGCGATCGAAACGAGGAAACCAGCAAACATTGAAGTAGCAAAATGAGTAGCGATGCTATCAGGGAGACCAAAGCGAGAGACAAGGATCTCTTTGCCAAACATGTAGGTAGGCATTTGGACAGCTGAGCCCACGCCGGCACGGGCCATAGCAGCATCTGCGCCTCGATAGATACCCTTTAATCCTTCACTACGATAGATGCGACTCAATGCGTTCCATGCTGAATCGATTTCATGCTGATGGCCGATTTGTTTGAATACTGGAGAATAGGATTGTTGTCTCGTCTTGATAAGGTATAATGGTGAACCGAGCAAAGCACCTGTTACACCCGCAACAGCACCAGCAAACACGCCCGAGGCTAACATGCCTTGCTTGGATTGGATATCGAACAAGCTGACGGCGGCATTTTGCACCGGCTCATATAATCCTATCCGACTGCCATTCAAGCAAACCTGGTAGACATAGGCAACACCGAGACCACGTTGAATGCCACGGATTCCTTCATGCTTAAGGATCACTTGAAGTGCCTGGAGACTGTTGTGATATGGCCGTGCAGAGGCTGAAAGTGCACCAGCACGCACCAACTCGCCTTGAAGTTGTAGCCGAGTCTTGACTACCTTTACTTTCCAAAGTCAATAAACGTACTATTCATTCCCCCGAGAAACTGTATACCTCGAGTGGATTGGTAAAGGTGACGGCTCCACATGCGGCAAGACCACCGATCGTAAAACCAACAAAGGTTTCCTTAAGTTTGCTTGGGGTCGTCTTTTCGGCTGTTTGTTGAGGCAATGTTGCCGTCGTCTTGAGCGATTCGGATGCTGCCATTAAAGGTTGGGTGGAGAGTCGATGAAAGGTGGAGATCAAACTGAAAGAGAAGGTTCAAAATACACCACCAGCAAGCAGACAGGGGAAATGGGTTCTTTTAATGCTCAGTTGGTTGTTTCACAGGTTCCTAGGAAATGAAGCGTCGTTATTATCCTCCCCACCCCCCACACACGCACTATTCAAACATGCAATGACTTGGCCCAATGATGATTGAGACCTGCAAAAGATGCATCTCGGCAATGCTTATCTTTTTTATCATCCTCGAGTTTACTTTTACTATGTGAGTTGGCTGCTCAAAGGTGTGTGTGTGTGTGTATGTGTACGTACACATGGCATGAAACCATGACGACGATCATATGACTCTACTACTACGAATACTGAAACATAGCTTTAATGAATACTACAAAGGGCCTGAACGATATTGCGATATGACATGGAATGAAATGCACCAATGGTAACGTAAAAAGAAGCCTATTTACCCCGTATTCACGGTTTTGTGACACATCTTTGTAAACACCGTTAAAGCACAGACGGCAGATCCGATGGGTCGGGTAAACCTCTTTTGCAGAATGATCCAATGGACGACAAGCAGCATGGTTTCATCGAAACACGCATCGTATGTTGTTGGACGTCATCCACCGTCATCTTGAACATAGCAACTTTGATAGCAATGGTAAATCATTAAAGAGGATTTTCTCACACTGCGCATCACACGCATAGGATGCATGAAAGGCAACAAATCATTTAACACCCCCCCTTCCCAACTAACTAACTACGAGAGCGGAGCAAGGAATATGAGCTGCGGAACTAATGGGGGATCATCATGCAACTTTTGTAACAGCTACATAGCATAAGCGTGTGCTATATCCATTTGATTGAATAATGAAAAGGATGCTGATGGAGAGAGGGAGGGATAAGATGACCAAGTCAGTGGTTGCCTCGTGACTCATTTGTGTGTGGTAGAGTTTCATTTTCATCAAGGGCAAGTTTATGCGACTATTTCCTCTCTTCTCTCTTCTTGTCAAGCACTCACACACTCCTCTCTTACTTTATACACTCGCTTTCTCTTTCACTTGTTTTCTCATTCCCCCCTCTCTCCACCTCAATTACAACTTATACCAACTCCATTGATAACACATTCACTACCTTACTATCCACAGCAGCTAGCCTACTATGAAGCAAGCATCCAATGACTACCAACCAGGTGTCCGTGCCGAGCCTAGATTCCTTAGGTAAGGATGCGACATCCGCAGCCCTTGTCTACTTGCGAGATCATTGACAGCTCCCATTGCTCATAGAGATCCCACTTCACTCGAGTTCATTTCCTCGGGCCTGACTCGTTTCTCGTCCTATGTTGTATCCAACTTGCCCAAACGCAAACCAAGCATGCAACACTACAACGACCTACAACCACCTTTGCTCTTTTATCAGCAACAACAACAACAACCTGCTCCACCTCCACCTTCACCTGTGACACCCATCAGTTCAAGCTTGGAGGATCATCATCATCAATCAACAAAACCAGAACCAGAAGACGATCATGATAAAGTCACCTTTGCCTCGTTTCAGCATATGGAGACATTAAGCATGGATGATACTGTTTCTACACGGTAAGATACATACATACATTCAATTTCAGCATGGATGGGGATTGATTCATTGGTATAATGATGATGCTTTTTAGACGTTTATGCTTGTTACTGGGATATCACGATGGATTTCAAATTTGGGACATCACCAATCCAGACAATATCCACGAGATATGTTCAATTCGAGACGAGGAAGCTTTTGGAACAGTGTCGTTTATGCATATCGTCAATTCCCCTTATCAACAAGATACAAAAGATCAACATCCGCTATTGGCCATTGTGTAAGTATGAGTGGAGTAGAGTACGTGGGAAGGGACATGTATTCATTCAATGGAGATTATCTAGAACAAGTCGTGAACCTGCTGACAATGACGCTATTGGTGTGATGGATCCTGATCATACAAGAAGAGCATCCACGTCATCCGCCAAATCATTTCATGCAACATGTACGGTGCTTCGATTTTATTCGCTCAACACACATCAAGTCATCAAAGAAATCCACAACATGGGTGGTGATGAGGAAGAGGAGACTAGGATAACAGCCATTAAGAGTAATCATACAGCGGTGGTGGTGGTAAGTGAAGGAAAGAGTGTGTATGACGTATATAATGTGCGAGTTGCTAATTTAGGAATGTGTAGGGATGCACTGGGAGCTCTGGTTCTACATTACATGTATTGTCGTGCAAGACACTTGACCCCTTATCCACGCCAATTACAGACGTCTATCATGATCCTATCAATGGCCCTGTATTTACACTGGGTGCACGCTTCTTGGCCTATGCAACTCATTCTCCCGTGCTAAATGACGATCTTGCCCTCAGCCAACATAAAGGCATCGGTGGAACAGGCCTTGGTGTACTTCAAGGGGATAAGGATGTGAAGGATATCGCCAAGGAAGTCGTGAGTGGAGTTAAATCGTTGAGCGAATACGGATACCAGACACTCTCCAGCTACTTTGGTAATCACCCACAGGATAAGATGCAGCCACCCCCTCCACAACAACAACAGGCGCCTTCAGTAGTATCATCTTCACCTCGTACTATATCGCCTATGGGGATGCGTTATGATGAACGAACAGCCAGTCCAATCCCATCAAGTAGTACGCAAACAACAACAACGACGACCACAACAACAGCTCATAGAAAAGCACCTGCTGCAGGCATGGTAAGTCCCTTTTTTGCATTATATGAAGAGTGGGATAAGGTTACTTACTTAAGAATGCTTTAGGTGATGATTCGAGACATTGCCAAATTACCGACAACACCCACTCGCAACATGTCACTATCCACTGTGGCCCACTTTCGACCTCATTCGCATCCATTGTCATGCTTGACATTCAATGCTGCAGGAACACTATTATTGTCTGCATCAAAGCAAGGTCACACGTTTCACATATTTGGAGTGTTGCCTAGCAACAACGTGGTGGGCAACATATCACATTTATACAGCTTGGCACGTGGATACACTGATGCACAAGTCGAGGACTGCCAATTTTCAGCGGATTCAATGTGGTGTTCGGTCAGCACAGCACGTGGCACGACTCATGTGTATGCCATCAATCCTTATGGTGGTAAACCTGAGATCATGGGTCATGTTGTAGGCAAAGTCAACAATCCACCTGTACGATTATTTATGAATCAGCAACGCAAATTAGAAAAGGTTTGTTTGTGTATAGGGTGGGAGAGAGAGGCCCATAGCACAATGGATTAACATCCTTTTTCTTCTTCAAGAGTACATCCCTTGGAAGCGTAGTGCGTGTCAAACAACGACGACCCATGATAACAGAAACGCATGATGATTTGGCTTTGAGTCAACAACAACAGCAACAACATTATCCAACAGCTACCATTCCTCCACCTATACCAACACGATCATCTCACTCCAGACAACCACGAGCAAAGTTATCCACAATGTTCCTTCTACCAACAAAAATCCCATATCTTGTGCATGCATCAAAGTCATCTCACAGCGGCGGCGGCACCACCAACAATACCAATGGCACGAGTCATTCCAATGCAAGTGGCAGCAATAGCAGTAAAGCTTTACTGGATGGTGCAGCTTCATTCAAAGCATTCAAACAACAAGCTTCTTCTAGTCTTGGATCGATGCTATCATCTTTTGGATCGAGTATCAGCAGCACGGACTCATCCTCTTCATTTTCATCGATGCGTCAACATCATGCATGGACATCTGCTCATGACAAGCTAGCCGACAATCGATTGTTTGGATTTGACGAAGAAGAAATGCCGACAGTAGAAGATGATGATTCGAGGACATTGCATGATGGACGTATCGGATATCAAGACATGTATTCAATTCATCCACGTGGCATGTTGACATTACATCGATGCTGGGTGAGCAAGTCCGTTGTCAAGAAACGTGATCATTCGCGAACGATTGAATTGGTGGTGAAGCAGGAGGATGTGGCTGAATGGTCCATGGCACGTACAACCGAATGGGAGCAAGTCAAGGTATCATTGGCACGTGATAACAATGCAACGGATGCGACGGCAACGAGGAAAAAGAAACGACGCACGCCATGGCTTTCGAATGCCGAGATCACGACTTGTTTACCCGACGAACAACCCTTGTGGACATCATCCCAGTTTAGTCTTCAAACATTTTCAGAGGATCCTGCTACGTTATCCAAAAAGCTATGGAAGACAGGCGAAATGCCAGAAGCAAAACCTGTTCATGTGCGACGAGAATTACCTGAACCCTATTCAAGTCGTATTGATCGTGTTGGTAAAACCACTGCCCGGATCACTAGTCAAGATGAAGAGAACTTGGATGATGCTTTGGCTGAACTAGAAGGTAGGAAATAGAAAACGGATGTCTTTCTATGCTATAACATGAAAACTCATGCTTTATACATATAGATAATCTTTCCAAGGCTATGCAAACGACCTTCACTACGCCATCACCTACAACATTGTTATCAGGATCGTATGGTAGCGCTAGCCCGGCTGGCTACAAGCGAGGATTACAGCAACCCATTATACCAGGAAACAATGGAACAACTCCCTCATCCATATCCTTTGAAGATGCACACCTTATCAGCATGGGTAGTGGTCCAAGTCCAGAAGACTTACTTACACATCACCAACAACAACAACAACAAACGCGTGGCAACATGGCACTTCATCACAGCTCATTGATACAATTTGATGAGGAGGAAGAGGTACGCTTGCCAGCCACTCCAAGCATGCAAAGCAGTAGCAGCATCCGACTTGAAGACGATGATGATGATGATGACCCTCCTGTCATGGATCAACAAGTATTTTCTCCTGACGGTGACAATGAAATGGCTCATCCAAGTGAATCTATTTTTGCTGAACGACCCCCACCATCCTTGTAGTAGAATGAATGAATGTACATACCCCCCCCACCTCCACCCGATTCATTGTCCTCTTATATCAAAGCACACCCCAACCTATATATGTAATTCAACCATGTTTTGAACGAGCTTATAAAGAAAGTGTTTATGTACAAAGAAAGCTATTGGTGCTGAACATTACAAAGCAAAGGTGGAAGTGTAAGTTCATGATAGTTATTGACATGAGCATCCTTGAGGATGGTATGAAGTGGAGGTAATTGAATGCAGATATCATCATCTTCTGGTGGTGGTGAAGCCATGAAGCTTGCAGCTGTTGTTGGTTCCATCATTTTGGGTGTTGTTGTTGTAGTAGTAGTAGTAGTAGTAGTTTTTGTGTGAGGGTTGTTGTTGCGATGATACGGCGAATGTTGTAATGATGAAGGTGGTACCACTTGAATGACTTGGAGTTTCCGTTTCTTTGCTTGCTGCTGTTGCGTATGATGATTGCTGTCAAAGAATAAACATAGAAAGTTGTTACAAATGAGGATGGGTGGGAAATAATGATCATGTGTAATCATTGTAACCTTACATGCGATGTTGTTTTCGAATCCTTAACCTGACGCCTTGGTCAGAGAAGGAGCGTGTTAAAAAAGTAGATTCATCAAATCCGGGAAATCGTTTGGATGGATACACAATGAAGGGCTCTGTCATGATTGTTTTGCAATTGCGCACCTCGTCCCTACAACCCCACCGGTTAATTCATATAGCCCTTTCCTTGCGCGAGAATTGTAAATGCTTACCCGGTCATTTCAAAAAGAGAAAAATGTAACCGGAATTGACCCTCTTTGAGAACGGCAAGATCACCAAATATGAAAAATCCAGCATCTCTATTGTCAATATCCCGGAGTCGATACAATGAAGATACCGTGGTTCCCACAAGGTATTCCTGAGAAGGGAGCAAAGTACACGTAGGATCATCAGCAGCGACCAAATTTGCCATGACATAATAAAATGGGCTTTGTAAAAGATAGTCCCTTTACATACAACATCAGCACACATATCAGTGATATCGCTCTTGTTACACTATGTGGCGGTGGTAGGTTGTAAAAGAATACCTCGTTATATTTTGGGCACAGTGCACCCACTCAAGTTTTAAAATCGGCGGTGGGTCAATTGGTTGTCTGCGGTCTGCAAATCATTCCGTTGTATGTATATGTCAACATGGCAGGTTCTGCAAAACAAGGTACAGCGAAAAATGAATGACTTTTTATACCTCGTTCATTGGGTGAGCACACTTTAGTCAGCCGTGGCTGTTGTCGTAAGTTAAGGTTATAATCCCTGAATGAAGCTTGTGTCAGCATGGCTTTTCAGCTTGGGTGTTTTATGAGAGTATACATACCTCTCGGGAGGAAGATGTTTGGTAAGCGAGCTTGATATGAAGCGATAAGTACATGAGGTATTAAATGATGAGGAGGATGAGGATGTAGACGAGGGATGATTAAGCTGGCATGACGAGCTCATTGTCATGTACACAAAAGAGAAAACTGGGGAAGAACGAAGGGAAAAAGCTACTTTTGAGGAAAAAAAGATGCTAAAGCTAGTTTTGAGGTATCGAGGAACCCACTTTAGTCAATTTAACCCAGAGTGCGTAAATAGGGTTACACGTGCATCGGTCATAGCTCCCCGCCAACTTGCAATTGTGTTGGAATGGGGTAGTACACACACATCAAAGCATTAAGCCATTTCTTGGCGCAGATGCCTATTTCAATAACGTATCTAATGATGGATATCAATGAAGATGTTGATAATGATAATGCTTGTAAAAGAGATATAGACTCGCATCACCTGTAAACAGAAGAGTGGGTAATAACGTATACGTATTACATCATCGGTTTGCAAGCAAATACAAATGCGGTTTGGTGGTGCCCATTTTGGCTATTTCTTTCTCAAAGCCAACTCGCGCGTGCAACCCATCTTTTCCCGCTCTTTGCCGTATCCAAGCAACACAACATAGCAACATGTCCTGGTATCAAAAACAAATTCGGTTGTCAGCGCAACCAAGAGGTAGGTGCTATTCTATTCCTTTATTGTGGCATTCCGGTTGTTGACGAGACGCTATGCTACTTTAGGTTGCCATTTGGTTCATCAAGAGATTGTCAGCCAAGTGCCCGAAATTCGCGACTACAAGGTTGGCATGGCCAACGTCTTTTGTAAGTAACCATGCCGTAGGGTCCAACAACTTTTTCTTGACCACCTTCATCTTCAGCTGATACGCGACTGTCATAGTACAACATACATCAGCGAGTCTTATGATCAATGAAAACGCTGACAGGACTGTGAGATCGGATATGGCAATGGGGTTGGATAAGATCGTTCCCGAAAACTGGCCTTATGAGCACGACTATGAAGGATCGGATGACATGGTAGGCTTTAAGGTTGTAGTAGTAGTCATATATGACAACTCATTATTGTATTTGTACTATAGCCTGGTCATCTAAAATCTGGCATTGTGGGCACATCACTCAACATTCCTATTACTAATGGACGTCTGAATACTGGTACTTGGCAAGGGTATGTTGTAAGTTATTATCACGTATGATGCTGAATGAGCTGACACGATTCCTAAGAATTTACCTCTGTGAGCATCGTAACCATGGTGGATCGAGAAAGGTGGTCGTCACTTTACAAGGTGAAAAACATTAGAGGTAGAACTTTGGGTTATGCAACAACATCGAATAGCTATTCTTTGGGGATGAATACAAGAAATGAAGAGTACGTTTCGAACATGCAGCTGCAGGATATGAGAAAGGATGTGTTTGTGTATGAGCGTATATGATCAAGAGGGCATCTTCCCACATAGGCAATAGCTGAATGCATCATACAATGTTTGAGTTTAGATATGTTTATTATGCTGGTTGTATTACATTATCATATTCTAATTCGGTAACTGATTGCTTATCAAAATCACAGAAATCATTGCTGTAACTTTTGGTATATTCTCTTCAAAACCTCGTGTTCTTCTGGATCCAAGATACCATCAGGGAGAGTGGCTGGATCGGGTATATAATAGCGCGTCTCACTCGATGAGATGGAGGGTGTTCGCTTTTGTTCTTCATCTTCGGTTGTGGAGGTGACTTCCAGACCAGCAGGATCGGATACAGTGGCTGCTGCTACGGGGGATGGTAGTGATGCAGGAGCAGGTGAAGGCGTCCACCAGAATGTAGGATAGCGTCGATCGATATTGTTGATAATCATTGCAATGACGACCATGACCGTCAATGACAGCATCATGACACCGATATAGTACCATCCCAAATCGCCAGCTTCCTTGATCGCAATGGGGATGATGGTTGTTGCACCTGCTGGAGGATGAACGCACTTTAGAGCAAGCATCAACACAAGTGTGATGGCAACACTCGTAGCACCAGCAACCCATCGTACATGTTCCACAGCGGCTTCAGGTGTGTTGATATGAAGAAACATTTGGTTGATTGCCACGCCTATAATAGAAGCAACAAGCGTTCCACCCAGGACGTTACGAGGTTGTGCCAAAGGCGATTCGATAGCACCATACACCAGAATGGCCGAGGCGCCCTAATGAGAGAAAGAGAGATCAGAAAAGGTGGGGTGTGTGAGAAAACAGGGCAATGGGGCATGTCAAAATCTGGCAACTTACACAACTTGCTATAATCATAGGGACATTATGTTGGACACGAAAGTAGGACGAGTAGGTGAAGATAATCTCGACAATGGCAATGCCAACAAACGCACCCAAGAAGGCCCATATGCAAGTACGCCAAAGAGGGAGTGGTTTTTTGTTATAGCTGTGAGCACCAATAAAGCGAGTGATCCACCATGGCCATTTGTCGAAAAGATCAGACATCGATATGATAGGTTGATGAAAGTGATAAAGAGAGGAGAAGGCGATAAGATATGATAACCAGTTGTCAGTGGATAAAGATGCACCTGCTGAGTCAACAATCCATCGACAAGATTTTATGTGTGAGTGGGTGTGAGTGGGTGCCTGAAACAATAACCTTATACCCATCATCACTTCCCCATCGTTCCCGAGCACATGACTTTCTTGTCGCTGCTGTATGATATCTGATAACAAGCCTTCCTTAATATAGTCGTATGCTGCAATGACAAATCATCCAACCAACCAGCGAATGGTATAAACGTATCACGCAATGAGGCTGGGAACGGGGGATTCTTTTACTTGACATATTTGTAGAGGACATGGCTAGTATAAAGGATCGGGTTACTTCCATTAGATATCATCTCTTCCTATGTTTAGGTAGGTACATGCCATTCCTTCCTATGTTTAGGTACGTAGATGTAGATTGTGTGCTGTCGCCGGCTCAAGTCGGACCTTCATGGTCATAAAGATAGGTATACGGTATATCTTTTTTGCTAACAAGCATATGCCAGCCATTGATACAAATGCCTTCAAACATTGGCGAGGAACATAATGCGTATCAGCAAAGAGTTTATTGGTATCATAAACCTCCTCACACCATAATGTACAATACAGCACGTACAGTTTATTTGCATTAATGAACACGTTCTCCTGCATAATTGCTTTATCCAACAGTGACTGGTTGCTTTGGATGGTGACGACGATGGCGTTGTTTGTGATGTTTCTTTTTTCCTGAGCTGGTGTTTTTCAATGCTGTAAGTTCTCTAGCACGTTGCCATTCATGCTCCTTGTGTTCATCTAATTTCTCCAACATGCCTTCAGCACGCTTGACAAGAGAACGACGTTGATTTCTGATCTTTTCATCTCCATGTGATTCGATTGTATCCAACTTGATCATAATGCGCATGATAGCATCCTCGCAGCCAAGGAATTCACGATTATTGGGTGTGGTAGCTGTCAATTGAAGAGTGCCGCCTTGTTCGGATGGTTTGAATTGCAAAGGTGTTTTCAATACGGTAGGAAGGCGATCCTTTTCCATATCTTCCAATTCACGTTGAACTTGAAGCAACTCTGGATGTTGAATCACAGGCTCAGAAGGTGGCAAGTTTCGCTTTTGTTGTTCTGCTATTTCATGTACACGTTGTGCTGCAGCAGTAGGATCAGCTGCTGCTGCTGCTGCTGTTGGTGTTGTATTGGGTGGATCTTCATCATCCATCAATTGTTGTTGCTGTTGCGAAGAAGCACTTTCAATATTGGATGTGGCGGGTTCAGCAGGTGTAACAACATGCTTGGGTGCATAAGCGGGCTTTTGCTCTTGTTCTTCTTGACACGCTTCTGGTACTTGCTGCTGCTCATTACTCACCAATTCGTCTAGTAGATCTTTGAGATTGAGCACGCGACCCTGCAATGGTGGATCAGGTGATGGTGCATGATGTCGTTCTTGCTGCAATGATGTCGCCTGAGGCATGGGTGCGTTCTCACGCGTGACAGAAACTGGTTCACGTTCCTTTTGTTGTTGCTGTTGTTGCTTTGGCCAGCTCTCCAAGATGTCTTCGTATTTATCTTCAGGTTCGGATGCAATGGCTTTTGGTGTGGTTGATGGTACTTTTTTATCTTGCATCACTGGTTGGGATTCTTGTACCGGCTCTGCTACGGGTGACGATACATCCATTGGTTCCTCCTTCTTCTCTTGCTCTTGCTCTTGCTCTTGTTCTTCTTCTTCATCAGAGGGTTCATTCGTATAGTCATCATCCCCTTGTTGTTGTTGTTGTTGTTGAAGTGTAGAGATGTAATTCCATAAATCATGTGCCTGTGATTCCTCATCCTCTTCAGAAGCACCACTCTCAGCTTCATCCATTTGTTGATGTAATGTATCTTCTTGCTCTTGCTGTCCAAACAATAATTTGAGTATACGGGCCAACTGGTTGGCATGGAAATCCTCAAAACCCTTGTCCTCTTCAACAGCTTCAGATTCATCATCACTTTCTTCTTGCTCCTCCTCTTGTTGTTGCTGTTGTTGAAGCATTTGCTGTTGTTCGCTTTGACGAGCAGCTTGATATTGTCGCCAAATCTCTTCTGATCTGCGTTGCTCTAAAGCAGATGCAAGCCATTGACGATAAACAGCGTCTTGTTGAGCAGCAGCGGACATCAAAGCCTTGCGACGATAATGATCCATAAGTCGTTGAATACGTTGGGCACGTTCACGTCGATAATGCTCCTTGAGCACCTTGAGATTATGCAATGCTTGAGTAACGCGATATTGTTGTTCTCGTTCTTCACATCGACGCCGTTGCTCATGCCGCAAAAGGAGCTGCAACTGCAAGTAGTCATCAAGCGTCAGGGTGCTTTGCAAGGTGGATGGACGCTCAATGACCACACGTTGCGAGGTGGGATATATGTAGTATAGCATGTTTGGCGATGTCTGAAAGAAGAACAAGAGGCAACGTTGTGATTGTTAACAGGGGTGATGCTACAAAACACGAGCTGCTATGCCACCGGAGAACAATAAAGAAAATGATGCCACTTTTGATTCCCATGTCTCAGATTCAATGGGTTTCACTTTTTTCTACCACTCACTCTCCCATGCCATTTCTACAAAACATCGTCAACGATGTCATGGCGTCATCCCACTTGTGAGTTGGATGTCTTTTTTGCTACGATGAATCTATTGTGCATGCTGCAAAGAATGGTGTTCTTCACGTGTCCATGGCAACCAACATGGTACGATGGTACATTGCCTAAATTTATCACAATGGAAAATCAAAGAAAACAATAATCGGGATAGTGCTCGGTTGTTCCCGTAATGTGGGATTGTGCACATACACACGCACACACACACCACGCCATACACGCACATACCATCAGATGTGATTCCATGTGCGTTAGACACGTATACGCGTCATTCGGGATTCACTTTATTTTGGGGGGATGGCATTGCTTAATCTAGTATCATCAGCACAACACATACATGATGCCCTTTTACAGCTGCCAAGATGCTCAAGATTCATCATCATGAGTAGTGAGAATTCGAACAAATGCAGCCATGTTACTCATGGAATGAGAATTGTTGGCCTCCTTTGTTACCTCACGATTCTTAATTCCCCCATGCTTCTCATTATTGTTTTTCAGCAACATATGCAATGACGATATGTGTAACAACTGTGACGACAATGACGGAAGAGGGTATCCAAAAATGGGATGTGTGCCCAGATCCACGGATGCATCAGAAAAGGCAAAAATGAAAGACGTGTCGTAATATGTACACGCGCGCCAACAACAATACTCTATGTTGACGGACATGATATCATCATTTGTGACGCACAGTTGATGGGATCTGCAGGATCGATGACAGGGTCGCCTAGCACACTTAATTCCGGCGGCGTCAACTTTGCTCCCCCAAATGTCTATGCGTGTTATCGTCATCAAACGGGATGCATCCGATACTGTAACTCCATCACATACACTTCACATTCACTATGAAAAGTACAATCTATGACGCATACTCATATCCAAAAGAAGCTAGTCCAACCATAGAAAGAATACGAGGCGATCTTTGCAATAATGCATGGATGTATCCCTGATATTGATGACCATCATCACTATCCATTCTCATGTTTACTCTTCACCATCACCTTTGTTATTGATTTACAAACATGTAAAGGATCAAAAGTGCAGCAGACCCAAACAATAAAGTGGATTAGCTACTATCATACGTAATTGTTTTGGTGCTAGTAGAAGTAGCAGCAGCTATCAACAATGTTTGAAAAAGGCGAACCGGGATAGCGGAATCCTCAAACACGGCTGTGGTTACATTGGAAACATGCTCTTTCCCCTCCTCCTCCCAACAACAACCCCCAATGTAACCTCCGTGCTTATGATTTTTTAGCTTGGTTGCGAATCCTGTTTTACTCGAGCCCTACCAAATACGGATTTGCATCCCAAACTTTTTGACCATCTCAATACCCAAATGTGCCCATGCATAATAATGTTCATTAACATGCAAGCATGCCGTAGTACTACACTTTTTCTTGCTATGAGCACGCAACACCATGAATGTTGGGGGTAAAAAGAGAAAAGGTCCCCAAGGGGAGAATTTTGATACTGACAACCTCAATCAAGGTGCAAAGGAAATAGGTGAGAGAGGCTTGCAAGGGCATAATGTACTTCTACTTGTGTTGGGGAGAGACACTTGGTGCTCCCTTTTCTGAGCTGTTGTTGCGATAAAGTTGTACATCATTACCAAATCGGGCCCAGTGAACCTTGGAGTCGGTTCCTCGCAATATCATTCTTATTTCACCCTCATTCGTTTAACAATATGAACACGTTATGCACAAAGTTTGACGACTTTTAGTGATGATTTCATCATGAGGAGATCACACTTGCACAGATTACTCACACACGCACATGAATGCTGCTGCTGAGTCAAAGAAAGGTTTGCCAAAAAAAAAAGAGCCATCATCATCATCATGGTGCCAAGAATTTCGTTCGAGTCCTACTTTTACCTGATACATGGCAGGTGGCGTATCTTCATATGTATAGGTTCCGATCGATGCTATATCTTCGTTATCAATGTATCCTTCCCCCATTTCATTTTATTGTGTGTGGCTCAATATGGGTATGTGTGTCGGTGTGTGGGTGCGCGCTTGTGATGTATTGTATAATGCCGTTCTATTATACATGAAGCACATGCTCTAGTTATCATGCAGCAACCATGCATTGTATTGGCTAATAAGAAATGTGGGTGAAAAGAAGTAAGGAGTTTTGGGGGGGGGGAATGGAAACAATCATGATCCAACAGCACCATTACATTCATCATTCACCCCCTCCCCCAAAACCACCATCAACCAACCACCTTTCTCCTGTCATCCCCCCGAAATCTGTGTCCCTTGCTTTTGTTACTCGATCATAAACGAGGAGCTTTGTATAAACATACACCCCTTACATCTCCTCTATTATAACAATGAGCTTTTTTTTGGGTATGCATCTTATTAGGGTGAGTTCGGATGATTTGATCGATATGTACATGTCGAAAAGAACGCTGTACCCTTTTCCAAAAAAGCTTGATGAATGAGGGAGGAGGGTAATAGGAGGATTGTGAGAGTGTGTATGTGCGTGTGTGTGTGTGTGTGCACCACAATTTTCCCCCAAATCCAATCACAACTCCTCTCTTGTCGTTTCTCCTCTCCCCCCATTTTCAATGCATGTATCCACTAGTACGGCAATCTCACGAATCCAGATCCATCTATAGCTGGTCCGAGTGCCCGACAAGAGCAAAAGTGAGTGCAAGAGTGAGTCCAATGGTGTCACCTCGGGTGGCCTGTGACACACACACTAATGATACACACATACACAAACGGCATGATGATGCGGATGAATATACATGTGTGCAGTCATATTTGTGAAATCATTATTGCAACAAGGCGGTCGTTGTTGTTGTTGCCTTTGGGGGTGGGGAAACAAGCGAGGAGACATGGGGAGCGCCTCTAATGCTTCAACTTGTATTATCATATTGTGTGCTTGTTTGTCTCTTTCACGCTATTTTTATCCAAACAGCAGCTTGTTTTTGACTAAATGGTCCCCCAAAAGGATATGGAGACCTTGATTGCTGTTTAATGTTTCGAACAGAAAAATCCATTCACCCATACAAAATCCGATTTTGCATACGCTTGTGTGCCCTTGTACCTAAACTTTATTTACTGTATACACCTTAATCTATCATGAAGGAAAAAGGTTTTTTGCATAGAGTGTGGGTGGATGTGCTGGGGAGTGTCAATGATGTAGGTGGCAGATGTCGTGGCACGGACCCTGATATTGGTAGTGTTCTTTGAAGGAATGTGCTAGTGATGGTGATGGTGGTGATGGTGGCGTGTATTGGCATGCGCTCGTAATATAACGAAGAGGAGAAGGACAATGTACATGTATGTAAGTTGGTGCTTGTATGTGTCTGCTTTTGCGTGCATCCCATCATCATCCTTTCCCTTTTTCAGTTGGCTTCTCTCTCTCTCTCTTTGTGTGTGTGTTGTGTGTGGATGTATATGGAAGCACGCTCTGTGTAATTATTGACGACTTTGGGTACGAGGAATAACTGGGTTCGTCCAACCGACGAGAAGAAAGAATGTAATGCTGTGATCCGGTTATTTTCAATGAATGATATGTACGTGGTGGAATTGGCTTTTGGGTGAATGATTTGGTATACGAATGCATGTGTGAAAGTGATAGGTCACGTTGGTCGATCCTGAATTTCTTAAAGCTGCAGCTGGCGTTCCAAGGCGTTGAGTTGGCGTTTATCTTCAGTGCATCGGGTATCGTTTTTAACGTCAACAAATGGATCAGGATGTTGTTGTTGGATTAACAACAGTGGTGGTAGAACAGGTGCTGGTGTGGATGATAATACGGGTTGTGGTGCTGTTGTTGTTGGTGGTGGTCGTGGCGTATAATAAAAGACTGGAGATCCAAGCTCACCTCCTGTAGGCTCTTCATCCGAAGATACAGGTGAAAGCGTAAGTGATGGTACTGAAGAAGGACGCCTGATATTACGGACCGTAGCTGAATGGCCTCCACCTGTATCAAGGGGATTCAAGTCAGGATAAACACCCCTGGGTACGACAATATTGCTCAGCGCACAGTCAGCAGTAGGCTGTGTCAGGCGACCTGCCACCACATCAGCCTTGTTGTAATATGAGATGAGGTGCAGCTTTTGATTGGCAGCTGTACAAATGGAAAAGCTTTGCTTGATAAGGCCATTTGTCTTGTATGTGTAAATGGGTGTGGTCTTGCTTGTTCTCCTAGGACGTCGTTTGGTTGCAAGCTCACGATACGTTAAAAAGCTGCCTGATACACGGCTAGGTGACCACGTTCTTCCATCGGTCCATCGTCGCATGCCTGCTTCACTTTCATCCCATGCAAAGACAGCACCAGACTTTATCTGCAATCCTTCTTTAGCAGAAAGTCGTCGTTGTATACGGCGTAGTTGACCGAGACGGCATGCTTCAAATATCACAAGAGCATCTTGAGGTGTTTTGATGTGACCAAAATATGTCTCCATATTGACAGAGATAAAAGCTGCAAGGAGGAAACGGAAAAGTGAAAGATAATGCGGAAGAAAAGAGGAAATAGCCTTTTCAGCAATAATCGACCTTCTTTTAAGGTTGCTCCCGTTGAGGAAAAGTACCGTTTTTTCATGCGGTCAGGATGGTAGATTGCCCTAAAATACAAAATAGCGGTCAATCCGAATTCGGCAAAATGCCCATTTCCCATTACCATCACAAGATTCGATAGCGATCTGGATTGTTTTAGTAACCAGTGTATTGCTCCCTTTTTCCCCTTGCCGACCCCCAACTTTTTTTTCCTTTCTATCCAGAACCCAGTTTTCGCTGTCACACTCTCCTCAATGGGCGCGTGTATTTTATGCAATGTACTTGTACCAATGGAGGGTATCATTGATGGATGTAATAATGCTTTATACGTGATAAAAGAGAGAAAGTGAGCACGAGATGTAAAAAGGAGCAAATAAGAATCAAGATGGAAAGCACTGGGGAATGTAGAAAACGATCGAACTTTGACACCATCCTTGCCGCTGGAATCAGCATCCAAATGCGTTTTTCTATGAGTTTCTAGTTTACCCGAGTCACATTCACTAACGCATACTCACGAAACGTTTTCATTCTCCCATACATCCCTCATTCGGTGATCGACAAAGAAGAAGACGGCATTTCCTGCAACGTGAAATTCTGAAGCGGACAAGGAACTGCACTTTTGCCTCGTTCAGGTAACACACCCAATATACCACTTTCGCTAAAAAAGACATACCGTACCGCCCCATCGGGTCAACTTTATTTCTTCTTTTCCTTGATCTTCACGTATGGAATAAAATAAGCAAAGTAACCGATATATGGATCCAAGCCTTGATTTCTTGCCATTTCATGTCCACAGGCCACATACAAGTAATGCAAACTAGAGCTCATCTATACAAGAAAACAAAGGGCATGTTAGCTATCATAAAACCCCCATCCAATGCACGAGTCACGATTGTCAATTACCAATACATGCCACCTAGAGACAAAAGCGGGGGTGCAAGGAGAAAGAACACAAAGAAACGAATATCAGAAGACTTGTGATTTTGGAGTGCATGTGTGTGTGTGTGCGTGTCTCTTACCAAGCATGGAGTTGTGGGTTGAATAGGTTGTACTCATGATAAACGTGGCACATGTTTTTGTCGAATAGCCATACACCCAACGCTAAGGCCAAGAACTGTGCTCCTCGATGAAAGAGCTTGGTGATCTCCTTATCTTGAACAGCGCGGTACATTTTGCTCACGAACCATAGGCAGCTCCACATGACGCATCCAAATCTATTTCAAAAGCGCTTGTATTAGCGACCTACTATTCTGCTTTTCTTTTCCCACCCCCCAAACCACCTGATAAGGATACTTGCGATGATTGAAACATGTAAAATTGCATAGTGCCACTTGACTGACTGGTCACGTAAGTTGCAAAGGCACAGTAAATGCTGATGGCCACCGGGTACACCGCCCCACGATATCCATTTTCATTCAACAAGAGCCCGAATAGATAACAAGCTGTCCAGACCATAGGAACCTAGTACTAGACATGTTAATAGCAGGATCACATGTAAACTTTAAAGTCCCATTACCTCGTCCCACATTTGATTCTCGAATTGTAGGGTTGCATGAAAAAGAATACTATCATATAAAGTGACAAATTAAGCAAGATGATGCCAGGAACCTCCTCCCCATACCTCCAATCAACCAAAATGTAAACACAACCAGGACCAAACATACCTTCCAATGCCCACAACAACAATCAATAGATAACTCAAAGATAAACGCCATCCTAAGCTTCGGTGATGTAACGCCACACCAAGGGCGCCAAGAAACACCATCGCTAAACTCTGTTTAGAAGGTAAGAATATATACAAACATGTCATGTCTCTTGCTAGCTGCTACTTACCGATACGGAATTCCAGAACTCGGCAACATAGTACGAATGAGTGTAATTCTCCTCACACCTTGACGTCAACAATGGGTAAGGGCAATGTGAGATTGGGTCCATAGTAGATTGGGCATTGAATGCAACATACCAGTCAACAGAACTTGTAATAGCACCCCAATACCCTTCGGCGAGGTGTTGTTGTTCGGTCATAGTTGTAGAAGAGAAGAGAGTACAAAGACATGCGCGGGGTTGGATGGAATTAATGAAGAGACGTTACGTTGGAAACATTGGATAAGCATTTATTACCCTAAAGGGATTCAGCAATCCATGAGACTACTTGGTCTTGGTTTCTTTGTTCATTATCATCTTGGGTGGTGGCGACGGTGGATGAAAAGACATCAATGTCTTCTTTGTATTCCAATAGAAAAGAAGGCACATTGTTTGTGGCGACCATCAATGGGAAATAGGGCTCAAATTCAAACGACGGCAATGTGGCTGCATCGATACTGCTTGGGCCATCCACCAATATTAACGCAGAGAGTGGCTGGTTGGCAACATACTTTTGGCATAGTCTCCATGCTGCTTCACCGTGTCCAATCATCACAGGAGGAAACATGGCCATCTTTTGTACTTGTTCATGTAATTCTATTATAAAAAACAAATGCATGAGTGAGTGTGAGTGTGTGAGTGTGTGTGTGAATATCTCATGGCTGCTTCTCTTCTCTTATTACCTTGGTACCAGGCCTTTAATACCGAGTCACCTTGACCATCAGGCTCACTAAACTGTGCCACTGCAGAATCGTACCCGAGATCAGAGAGTCGAGTTTGCCATTGCGTTGCAATCCTAAACGAATACATTGAGAAGATGCTGTTCCTGAAATGCAAGTTGGTATTGTTATACTTACGCGTGTGGTGTGTTGGTGCTAACAAAGAGCACAGGCATGGGTCGTTTACGTGCATTGGGCGACGCTTCAAATGTTGTCACTGATACCTTGTATCGCAAGCCATGCTGACGATGATGAAGATGACTTTTAAGGTGATGTCTGAAAAGTGACTGGAAGAACATTGTGTGGGAAGGAAAAGTGGGCAATTAATCTTTTTGCTGCTTATCTCAATAGGATTGAAAATGACGTTTCCATGCCAACAGCAGTATCCAGGCTACTACAACAACATGCGCTCAATCATTTCATTCACCACCAAAAGGATCGACGACTGAGACATCCGCTTTGTGGATGGTGGATCCCAGCTTAAGAAAACACGTGCGATACATCTGTTTTAAAGAAGCTTGTGTCACCGTCAATCAAACGCAATCTTGCACTAATGGTCCCGCCCGATGCATCGACTGTGTTGAGCTTGTGTATGTGTGTGTGTGTGTGTGCATCATCCTTCACCTTTAATCTCTTTCAACTAACCCGATTTTCTTTCTTTATCCTTTCCTTTCTTTTCTTTTTCTTCTACATTCATTCATTCCTTTGTACACAATTCATCCCTTTCTCTCGCTCTCCCTCTTCATTCTCCTCTCTCTCTCTCATCATCCATGTCTCCTCCCCGTCAATTGGAAGATACTTCTTCAAGTCTTCATCATTCATCAACTAAATCTTCCTCCACTGGTTTCCATCAACGTAAAATCTCATTGACAACGGCTTGTCCACCCACTGGCACTCGTAAACCAAGCATCACTCGACATGGCGCTGCATTCCCACATTCAAACTCGTCATTCGGTCAATTGTGTCGTCGCTTCTCTCGACTACGACTTGTACGGCTTGTCGCCTTGGCCTATATTGTTATCAGCGTAGTATTATCCACCATGCATCTCTTGACGTCTTTTGGTGATAGCTCGGTACCTGCAGCTGCATCAGTAACTGATGAAACTACCGCCCAAACAGGTATAGTAAAGGGGGTTGGATAATGAAGGAGGAGTATAATCTGGGATCAGAATATCACAAAAGCACAAGTCGATTTATGCATGACATCTATATATATAACAGTAATGGCACCACCACTACTACCACCATCACCAAACAACAATGAGCTATCACCCTTGAATGACTTGTCTTATCAAATTCGACTTTCCAAAATGTTTTCCAAATCCCTTGTTCGCATGGATCATCTACGACCTTATTGGTTTACCGCCACTCACACGCCTGCTCCTAATTCATTGACACTGGCAACAGTGGTTACCATGGATGAATGGTCTTCTCTTGCCAATTTGGCAGAGACATGGCAAGGTATGGCATCATGCGTGTATGGATGGCCCTCAACAACGTAAGGCTAACTTTTTTCACTATAGGATCCATTTCAGCTGTACTTCAAGTACCCACTGATGGTACCGATCTTGGCTCGGGTACTATGATACAACATCTTGCCACTATTCGACGCGACTTTGAAAGAAACGAATACCTTTCCCGCCATGTCGATTTACATTTGATTGCACGACCAAGTCGCACTGACAATGGTGCTCAAGTGGTGCACAGCAGCTTACAAGAAGGCCGCAACCTTGCTCGCTTGTTTAGCCGTTCCAAATACGTAGCCAACATGCCCGTGACGACCTTGTGGATGACTGATTTGACTCGTGCTATTGATACTTATGCACAAAAACTGGATCAAGGCGATGTATTGATCGTGCCCACTTTTGGATTCCCAAAGAGCCGTTTTGCTGTAACCGACACGTGGCCAACAACCAAACCGGAGATGATTGAATGGGTGGATGACAAGCGTATGGGCATGTTGGATTATCACTGGCGTCTCAATATGGGTCCTACCTCGTACGAAGATTGGCGTGATGCCACAGAGCCTTATCTCATTCCCAATTATGATTTCCATTACAATCCCGTCTTCATCACAACTCGTGAAAACCATCCTTGGTAAGATGCTGCTTTGGGTGGTTGGAGAAAAAAATGATCTTTAGGGAGGAGTCTAACCGGATTTTGCAGGTGCGACGAACGTTTTTCAGATGAGCCATCCGCTTGCTTGTATTCAATCTATTTGAACGGCGCTGATTTGTGGGTTTTATCCCAGGATTATACTGTGCGCACTGGGCAAGAACCTGAAAACATGTTGACGCAGGAGGAGGTAAGTGCACCCTAAATCGATTCAAAGTGCTTTATCTAACATGGAGTAATTCATAGCGTATTCAACAAGTCAAGGTGTACAAAAACTATCGTATTGAGCAATGTGTCTTTTACGCACGTCAATTTGATCAGACTGGTATCTTCAACACCAATCGGGCCAAACATGTCCAAGAAGAATGTGCAAAGGAGTTGGGCAACTTGCGCAAGGAAAAGATGATTGAGACATTCCATTAGACGACATGTTAAAAAGTTAGATATGACCGACGACAGGTTTCGACGGTGCTTTTGTGTTTCTTTGTTGTATACAATATCTCATTAAAGTTGATGTTTGCTTCAACCTTATTTGTGCGTGACATCTTTGAAATGTGGCATTAATCTCTTATAGTCCAAAGCCAATCTGCTTTTTTGAACCGACAAGACACCATACATGGGTGAATGTGTAGCCTCTCAGTGTTAGTATGATATCAAGCAATAGACTATATAGCGTTGAAATTGTTGCCACGCAACAGAATTTAGGCGTCGACCTATGTATCTAGCTTGATCCTAAGCATGATCCATGTATAAAAAGCAAATGATAGTTGTAGGTCACCGAATCGTATAATTGATATTATAAACATTATGTATTGAGCCTTGCACCTTGATATGAAAGTGTCAAAGGTGCATAGTTGAATAAGGAGCGGTGCCTTGTGTAGCAGCAGATTATTGATCCGGGTGCATGTTGTTGATAACCTAGAGACATACATAATTGGCTTAAGGTACAGCATTGATTCAACGACAAGGATGATAACAAGGCATATTTATTAATCGAGGATAATGAACAAAGCTACTTGATAGGCATATGTATAGAGCTAATGGCCATATGAGATCGACTGACATGGTGATAATATCGGTAGGTAGCCATTGCTGGATTTTTACTGGGTGACGTGGTTGACGACCCCCGCCTTATTTTTTTTCGTTCGCCAGATAACAACTGTACAACTTTCTCCCCACTCTCCATGGCTTCGAGGCTCCTTTCCACCACCGTCAACAACCGTGCTGGCATTGCCAAGCAGGTAATGCCTTGATTGCTCTCTTTACAACCACCAACTCATTCGTCATTACGTCCATTTACAGCTTGTCAGACCTCTCGCCACTGCTGCTCAACAAGCAACTCGCACCACCGTTCTCTCTAACGGTCTCACTGTTGCCACCGAAGAATCCACTGGTGCTCCTACTGTGGGTGTCTACATTGGTGCTGGTTCGCGTGCTGACAATGCCCAAAACAGTGGTGCTGCCAATCTTGTTCAACGCATTGCTACACAGGTGGGTGGTTATATAGATATAGATACGCGATATCATCATTGACATACAATGAATACATAGAACGCCAAGTTGATTGGTGGTGAACTCGCTTCTAGCACGACACACGATCATACATTGTATACAGCAAAGACGATTGATGTGGCCAAGTCTGTTGACACTTTGGCTGGTCTTGTGCAGGACCTGAAATTCGATTCTCTTGAATCTCAACGTGCTGCTATTCTCAACGAACAACCCAACGAAGAATCCGTCACTTTTGAACATTTGCACGCTACTGCTTTCCAAGGCACTTCTCTTGGTCTTCCTGTCGCTGGTTTGAATGTTGAAAACCTCACCGAACAAGATTTGAGCAACTTTGTCAAGTCCAACTACACTGCCGATCGTATGGTTCTTGTTGGTGCTGGCAATGTCGATCATGATGCACTTGTCAAGTTGGCTGAAAAGAGCTTTGGTGGATTGACCGCTGCTGGTGCTGCTGCTCCTGCCAAGCCAAGCTTCACTGGTTCCGAAATCCGTATTCGTGATGATCTTGCTCCTGCTGCTCATGTCGCTGTTGCTGTTGAAGGTGCTCCCTTGTACTCGCAAGATTACTTGAACATGTTGGTCATGCAAGCTATTGTCGGTAGCTGGGATAGCACTTTGGGTGGTGCTGCCAATCTCTTCTCTCGTCTTTCTACCGTTGTCAACAACAACAAGCTCGCTGATTCGTTCGCTTCATTCACCAAGGGCTACAAGGATACCGGTCTTTGGGGCATGTACTTTGTCACTCGCAACAAGGAGCAAATCGATGACTTTGTCCACTTTATGCAAAAGGAATGGATTCGTCTTTCCACTACCGTCACTGCTAGCGAGGTCGAACGTGCCAAGATCCAAGTCCAAGCTAGCCTTCTCTTAAGCCTTGACTCTTCCAATGCCATCGCAAAGGACATCGGTACCCAAATCCTCACCACCGGCAAGCGTCTCTCTCGTGAGGAACTTGCTAACGCTGTCAGCAAGATCTCCGTCAACGACATCCGCAAGACTGCTAACGCCTACTTGTGGGATCAAGAAGTGGCCGTCGTCGGTAATGGTCCTATCGAGAGCTTAACCGACTACAACCGTGTTCGTGGTTTCATGTCATACAACAGGTACGTTATGATTTTATTCAATGAGCCTTGTTATCATTTTGCTGATCCCTTTTTCGTTATAGATTCTAAGCAGCTGCTATCTCCCAATTTTCCTCATCACACACTTTGCATCCCAAAACTTGTTCGATACTCTAATAAAACGAATAGACTTAGTCGATCGCGCCCGTTCCGTGACCAACAACAAACTGGACGTATGTATACGATGGATAAGGTGTGGCTCAAAGAGGATAGATGTTATCGAATGTGTGGATGGTATTTGGTGACATTGGATAAATAGTATGCTCACTACGAGTGATTTTACGATCGAGTCATTTAAAGGGGATGTGTGTTGTTTATGATTTAGCGATGGGTGTTTAGGGAAATCGGGCTATACACTAAATAGCTGTATTGAGAACACAAGCGCTAACAATCAAAGAGATACGATAGAGGAATGAGATGGTGATCACATCCTTTCTTTTTTTGTAGTCGACGAAGTGTTGCTTGGCAACGGCAGCTTTGCGCCATCTGAGGCTGAAATCGACATGGTGGCGGTGTAGCTGACAACTTTTGTGCCAATAGTTCACGTCTCATCGTAGTGTTTCTTGCTGTGTAGAGACAACCTTAACACACGATAAAGCGTATATCCATATCCACTACCATACGATGTTGTATACAAAGAAGCAATAACATCTACTTGCTTGGTGCTCTTCCTCGGATGCAGATTTTGCTAATAATACCAACAAAGGATCTCGTTTGCTGCAGGCGTGTATGTATGATGAATTCCATGGATGCCGATATGAGTGATGCAGGATGTCAAAAGAATGTTTCGGCAATGCGGATGGCCCCATCGAGATAACCTCAACCTGCCAAGACAAAAACAAACATCAATCACCCTCGGGTGACGTTCCACAGGTGTGGCTCGTAAAATACAGAAGGGTATTGGTGGAGATGTACTACTTGGATTTGCGGCACGTGTGGTTGGAACGTTGCGAATCACCAATGACCAAAGCATCATGTTGAGGTACTTGAAGAATGTCATGCGTTACATGCAAGCAGCAGGTTATGGCTAGTTGTGCAACACGGCACAAAGGGCGGTCTCAAGAACGAACCTTACATGCAGCTACCTGCATGAGCTTATTAGCATCACTATCATTCGTGAGATTGGTGGAGGAAAGTCTTCGATTTTAAGTCAACACATGTAACCATTGACGACCACCATGATGGTTGACGTATGATTTTATCGGCTGTTGCATGAAAAGCATGTCATGATATTTTGCCGAGACATTTTTGTTACAGGCGCAGCTTTAAATGATCCTTCACAATCAAAGTCATGTGTCGCCTCCGGTGAGCCGAACAACATGCATCATCATTTATATGTCACATCGATACTCGGAGAATAGGAAAGGGGTAAGGGATCCCAAAGTGGTGTGCGATCTTTTAAGTCAGCAGAGAGTGAGACGCATTACGCGTTGTTAGATGAGAGAGAAAGCGAAACAAGTAAACGCCAATTACCATTTCCGGCATGGATCCGGCCTTTTGGTCTATAAAACCCACAAGCAAAACTCCCAAATCTTCTTCTTTTCTTCCTTACTCTTTATTCTTCTTCCTCAAAACAAATTTACCGATGGCTTTGACCTGCTCTGATATTTGCAAGTTTATCCTTGGTACGTGAATGTTCTACGCACCTAGAGCGTGAAAAAAAGATGATCCTTCAAGCGCGTTTCACTTACACATGATTCATTCGTTATCCAACAGCTGTTATTCTTCCACCTCTTGGTGTCTTTGCTGAGAAGGGTAAGTTAACATACACGTTGTATCATTTATCAGAACGCTTACGTATGTATGTTTCTATTCTTTGTTAGGATGCGGTGTCGACCTTTTGATTAACGTTGGTTTGACCATCCTCGGTTGGATCCCTGGTAAGTAGATAACAACGTGTGTGGGAAGATCAAGGGTATCATGGCAAAAAGAAGAGTACAGGTTTCTCATTACAACTTTTTTGTATAGGTGTTATTCACGCATTCTACATTATTCTGAAATATTGATTGTAACCTAGTATTCTTGTTATATTCTTCGTTTTTACCATGTATACAAAATACCTATTGTTATAGCCCCCCAAGAACAATATATTTGTTTTTGTAAAGACTCTCGTTGTACTGCATCAGTCCAAACAATTATGCATCACGTTGGACCAACTTGATTGTGCTGGGTTGAACGCATGCATAAAGACGCGTCTGTGCTAAAGAAACAACAGCACTCTAACGACGTAAGAGATAGGATGGATACCATGCACACACATACAAAGGGGGTTATCGGCTTGGTATTGCTCCATGAGATGCTTCCGATATGATTACACAAAAAAAGGGCGCTCGGGTGCCACACGATGCTGACTTTCCGATTCAATATTGACGTACAGCTGTCATTTTGTTCTGTTTACCAGATGCACTGATCATGTTGCTCCTACAACGTGACTCCGGAGTTGCCTATGTTGCTTTGGTGCTTCAAACGATATGATGTTTTATTAAGCAGTCAATGGATGAAGATGATCATTATATACAAAGCTCGTGGATAAGAATCTCGATCATGCTAGCAAGGTTGTTTTGAGTAACAAAGGCGGGAGTTTAGGACTTGGGGGAATAAGATAAAGGGGCCAAGCAAAGACCACAAATGTAAATAGATTCCCTCTGCTATATGCGATAATGATGATGACATGGTGTGTCCAAGATGTGTATGCTAATGACATGATAAGGTGTCCAAGTTGAGTGAGCCCACTGGTGAATCCATCTTAAGAATAGCTCCGCGACTCGAGGCGGGTGCATCTCTTCCTCTCCTTTTAACCGACACCCACACCATTCAACAAGGTAATGTATTACAAAAGATGCTCCTTGGTTGTATCGACATGGTTGTGGATATCCATAAGGATGACGTGCATTAGGTGAGGGCTTTAGCCAAGGTGATGGAGTCGCTCTTCTGTTTCGTTGTTATGCCGCTTCTTGCTTGGTGCAACAGGTACATTCAAAACCCAATGCTGCAAATGAGCTTGTCCATTGACGTGTATAGACTGCAAGATTCGATCGCGAGGGACATTGGCTCATTTGACTTTTGATTCGACTCAACTACACCATGGCTTTGGTATGCAGCAACCAACAACCAAGGTCTTCATGTATGGAAAAGGCAAGTGGATAGAAAACAATGAAGTCGTTTATTGAGTGTGTTGCTAATAACGGATGACGCTATTATGAATAGGTTCTTGGTCAGGTAGTGCAGCTTTGGGCATCATCTTTCCTTGGGTTCGACTCCCAACCTGTATCTTTTTGCCATTTGGCGTTCTTCTCGTGGCATGCTGGTCGCTACTATTTGAGGATTGGGATGGTGGCGGATCACTCTTTCTTTGTTGGAGAGAATGAATGAGGACAACTATCGCTCCCCGGGTGTTATGAAAGTGAAGGCGTCGATGATGGATTGGTAATTCCTGCAGAGCTGCCTTGTTTTTTTTTGTAAGGACGACGGTGACAATTATGATGCGACATCGGTAACGACAACGCCACAGACAAGCGTGGTTTACCTTTCCCATACCTCGTTGACGTTTACAAGGAAGCATGCAAAATCCCATTCTTTTCGACTTGTGTGTTTCGGGGAGATTGACGACTGCTGACGAGTATGAGTACGAGTACGAATGATGACGGAGGACGACTACGACGATGGTGGTGGCAATGCAGGAAGATAGTTGGATGAAATAAAGCATTGTTTCTTTATTACACGCTTGGACTTTGCTAGCTTGTGGATTACATACTATTGATTCGAAGATGGAATAATAAAGGTGGTCCGGTTATTATCGGTCATGCAAGAAGTATATGGCTTTTGTAATACAATAAGGAGGAGTGGGATGGCCTCGAGAAGAGAAAAAGTGACGTGATCCATCCCTCCATTGAGTTTCAGGATGAGTGACCCACCATTGGATTGATTACATATACAAATTGGTTTTTGCAGCTCGACTTTCTTCTACATGCAAATGTGATGCATACCTTGACACACCTTCATTATTGGATGCTGTTTACTTACGTACCTTCACAAAAGGCAATCATCATCATCATCCATTTGTGTAGCAACCTGTCAAGGACGTGTCTGTGTAACCACCACGTGCCGTTTCACTCAGCTCTTCATCTTTCCGTTAATGCAGCCGACACCATCCACTAGGAAAAAGCAACTCCATCACGCTTACAGCATAGGTAAAACATAAAGACGCCTGTATCTCCAAACTTTACAATGAAACGTGGGGTTTTGAATAGAGCAATGGGCTCGGCTTGGCCAACAGCACCTTGTGTGAAAGTTTCGCGTTCAATGTCGCAACTAGCCCAAAAAATATTTTTTGGTCGTCGTCGTCGAAGAGGTGGACCCCCAGATCCAGTTTGGCTGGTAGCGACATTGCGAAATCTGGGATCGCCCACGATGAACTTCATACTTTGACACAAGATTCCTTTGACGTCCCCGACGAGCACGTTGATCTATTAAAGAGCCCACGTTTGATTGTGAAGTTTGGAGATACAGGCACCTTTATGTTTTACATATGCTGTAAGGGAGATGCTATATGAGAAGTGGTCTTTGTTTAATGTAAAGTAGTATGACTATAATAGAGCAAAAGATGCAGAGGGCGTGTTTGTGTAACTTGGAGTCATTCAGCACAGGCGATGCATGATTCTTGCACACTATTTAGGAATAGTTAAAATGCCAGCTAATAACCTTAGTCCTCCCATTCACCTTTGTTATACCCGATCCAATGCATACGAACGATTGTCCTGCTCCAGCGCAGCATGCCCATCATTCAACTTTCTTGATCCGATGAGATTTGACTGAAAAATGCTCAAACACAGAAACATCATCCTAAGTTATTTGTAAACTGCCAGCTAATCACCCATTCCTCCGATTCATCTTTGTTGCCGAGTCCATTGCATATGAACGATTCTTCTGCTCCAGCCCAGCATGTCATCCTTCAACTTTCTTGATCCGAGTGGATTTGATTGAGTAACTCTCAAACAAAGAAATGTCATTCAGCTTCAGCTCTACCTATTTTAATTCCCACTCCTTCCACTCACTGCTTCTTTCCTCTTCCTCCCATTCTCAACTGTTGCCCCATTCAAGCACAACTACCACATGCGAACGATCATGCTGCTTCAACCCATCATGTCCATCCTGCAGTTGTCTTGATCCGATTGTCTTTGGCTGAATGGGCAAGTTAATGGCGTGTACACAACCTTCTTGTCACTCTTCTACAACACACGCTCTTGCACGCGTCCCTGCCACCACCAAACGCAAAATCAGTTGTCATTAGCAAGACACTCACTCCACCGTCTCAAACAACCTTCTTTACTTGGAGCAACCTACTATACAGCCTTTTGTGCGTGTGAACAGCATACCAGCAACTATACCATACGTCCTTCCTTATCATCATCCTGGATTTGCAATGGTTATGGATGGATGGATGGATGCAATCAAGTGCAGTGATGAGAAAGGAATCCTGGAATGTTGCTCTGGTTACTTGACGCGTTGTCAGCAGGAACGATCGATCATATCACGTGGATACGGCTGAGTATGATGAAGGATTGGATGGGATTGACAAAAGGTGTTTTACAGCTATGATGATACTCAAGTCAAATCACGCAGCAACTACTTTCCAACCATGGATGAGGATGTTGGTGACAACAGCAGCCAAGAATAGAATGACACAATTGTCCCCGTAGCTTAAAATGCTCTTCCTTTATCATACATACTCGATAAACATCCACACTACCCTGTGCTATTCTTCGACTTTCCATTGAATGAAAATTGGATTCAGCAAAACACTTAGAAGGGTATCGTACTATCAGCTTATATGTGCAAGATGTGAATCGCTTGGTTGCTTCTGGACTGAAGGAGGGGGATAGTAATTTGAAGATCGGAAAGGACGATCAGATCAGTTGCATCATCGTATCACGACGCTTTTGTTCTTTCGTCACAACGTTGTTACATCCACTAAAACTTCCTAGTGCACAAGCTAATAGTCAAAAGATAGTGGGGATTCTAGAACGCTTGTATTGCAAAGATACTAAATTCGAGAGTGGTGATGCCCAACATAGAGCTCCATCCTGCCTTCGATCAGTGGTTTCTATGAGGGTCAATTAAGTATTAGCGTACACTTCATAAGATAATGATTCACATTGCGATGATACGTACCTTTTCAACGGAGGGGTAAATGCCTCCTTCACTCATGCTATAAAATGACAACTTGCAGCTAGGAATTCTTGTGGCTTCTCCCCAGGTGGCACGTGACCCATAGACTTGTAGCAACCACCACCTTCTATAGTTACATGAGATGGGCATGTTGATACAAATAATGTATTTCTTCACTGTATCATATGACGACCAGGTCTATATTAGTAACAATGAACCTGAAAGTAGCATTGTCTCACTGTATGCAGCACTCCATTTTATTATAGCCGATAGCAGCATGCGAAGAACTCATTGTATTGTATATGTGATCTACAGCTAGCAGCCCATTGAATGAGCTATACAAGTTGAATTCATGAATGCATAAGGGTATAGTTGGCAAGCAGCGTGCCTGGTGGCATCAATAAGTGCGACGCGCGATTTTTTTAGGTGCCGCGGGTTGGTTCTGTTTGCCACATCATGACACGCGCCAAAAAGCAATCGACACCAGAAGAGGACAGGCTCTCATCGCAATTCTACAAGGAAGGTACTTCATTCACTGATCCGACAACCGATTCCAAGTATATACGGTACTCACAACTTGCCTTTTGTATAGAATCGTCCAAAGGTCGTAAATCGACCGCTTGCATTCCGTGGAGCCAGGCAATGGTTCCTGATTGCATCCAAATCCGTCCCATTTTGGCAAGTAGATGGACTCATTCGATCCTGGACATGGCCATGCTCATACGCACTTTGTAGAACAAACTGAGGAATATCAAGCAAGTCAATAAGGAGAAGGCTGCCGAGGATGATGAAGCGTGGAAACTTTCTAGTATGGAGGGGTAGGTATCGTTATTGGCAGCTGCCCGCTTTTTCGTCGGGTTCTTCTATGTACTCATGCCATACATGCCTCGTTTTCAATGACATGTGACCTAATGTTTATTGTTTGTTTTGTCTTGTAGTGAAGAGATCGATACGGTGCGCAAGGAAAACGTTTTCAGTGAAGAGGTGACCGATGCCGATATGGATATTATCCAAAAGCGTGTCGCCTTGCAACAACGCCAGTTTGCTGAATTCGAGAAGCGAGACAAGGCACGCAAATACCAAAAGATCAAGGCAATTTACGATTACCTCACGTTTGAAGAAGTTGATGAAATGTTGAATGATTGCTCCAACGACGAGGTATTACATGATTGTGTGGATGTCAATGCATGGAATGCGTACTCATATGCATGTCTACATTATAGGAAGAAGTGATTGTACGCTTGACACAGCCAGCTTATTTGTTGCAAATCCGCAAGACTGTCGCCACCAAGCATGCTCCAGAAGTAGAAAGTCAACGTGAGTGAATTGGATTTCTTTTTCCTTTTCGAGTTGGTTGCTTACCTTATCATCGTTGCTATAGACAACATGATGACTCCCGAACAGCAAGCTGCTTATCAACAACTTCTCAAGAAACGGTCCGAGACTTTGAGAAAAACAACCAATGATACGGCTAAAAGGTAAGCATACCACCTACATAATAACATGTTGCAACATGCTTATCGTCATCCTCTTTTAGACAATATCGCATGGGTGGTCGTTTGGCTTTGGATGATGCTGTGAAGCAGGTTCGAGACAACAAGGTGGATCCATCAAAGGCGTTTGAAGGATGGTCGCAAGCACGTATTCGAGCCTATCAGATGATCGACCAAAATCCCAACAGCTACTATTATCGCTTCAATGCACCAGGCGAAGAACAACGCAAGGGTCAATGGTCACCTGAGGAACGCAAGTTGTTCTACAAACGTCTTGAGGAAGTGGGTGCCAATGGACAATGGGGTATCTTTGCTATGAAAATTCCTGGTCGTGTCGGCTATCAATGCTCCAACTTTTATCGCTTGCTTGTGGAGACTGGCGAGATCAATGATCCCAACTACGTTCTTGATGAGAAGGGCAAAGCACATTATCTCTTCGACAAAAAGACAGCAAATGGCCAAGTGGAAAAGACATTCCGTACACACAGCAAACATGGTACGGGTCGTGGTTCGGGTATCCCATCGTCTTCAGCAGTTGGCAGCACACGCTCTACACGTAGCCGAAAGTCACCAGCAGCTGATAAGAAAGCATCCAAAAAGAGAAAAAGACGCACTCGTGGATGGGATAGCGATGATGACGATGAATCTTCTGATGGCTTTGAGGATTATAATGACAACTCGGGTGCTTACACATTACGGACATCGCGTGTTACACGTGCTCGAGTGGCGGCAGGAGAAGTAAGATCAACAAGGGCATCAGCATCAGCAACTGCGAGCAACGATGATGATCAAGATGAGCTTGAGGAGAGTGAGGAGGAAATGGATGATAACCCTCTTCCCGGTTTCATCGACCCTATCACCTTGGATGAAGTTGTCAAACCAGCAATCTCGAAATACGGTCATGTTATGGGGTAATTTGAAAATGATAGCACTGGATCTTATGCATCAAGCTCATCGTCGACCCCCCCCAAATAGATACGAAAGCTGGGTACGCTGTCTCACGAATTGGGAAGGCAAGAAGAACATTTGTCCACTGACCAAGAACCCATTGACGAAGCGAGATTTGGGTATGTTGAAACATCAAAGGCATTGATAAGGCAGATGGATTAACATGAATATTCCATAGTCATCCTGACATGGGAAAACATTGACGAATACAAGTAAGAAAAAGCTGAAACTCTTGCTTTTCCAAATGACTAATCTAACCTTGTTACTAGGGACCAGATCATCAACATGTAAATAATCGAGTACCAGAAGTACAACCACAACCAACCAGCATCCCAATCAGCCCATTGGAAACCAACAAAGAACACATTAGATTGCTGTTTTATTGATAATTGCATACATATAACTAAATAAGATACACTTTGCTTCTTCCAATTGATGCGGCCGGTAATAATACAACGAAGGATGGGATAAAAAGAGATAGAAGGAAAAGACTTTTTCAAACAAAGAAGTGGGAAATCACAAGACATACATATATACAAGAGGGTGGGAAATGTGGCAGTAATTGGCATGAGAGGGATGATGAGTACATTCAAGATACGGGGACAATGTAAGAAAAGAGCTTTAAAACAGGTTATCATATGAAATGTAATGAGAGATGTTGTAGTCGTCTTGCTCTAATTTGAACCATGGCTCGTCAAGTTGAGTGGTATCGGATAAAGGTGGAGGCGGCGGGATGTATGGATTGCTAAGCATCAAGCATGGATCAAGCAAGCCATTAGCTGTCAGCAAATCAGGAACAATGTTGGGGTGTTGTAGCACAAGATCCTCGTCAAGTGACGATTCGGTTGCTGAAGGTGAATAAGCTACTTGCTGAGATTGATGAGGAGCTGTAGTTTCTATCGGTGGAGGTGTGGATGGTTGTATTGATGGTGTTGATGATGCTGTAGAAGATGGCAATGCTGACATTGTATCAATGGATGGTGAAGGAGGGCTGGTGTTTCGACGACGAGGTTGAAAGGCAGGCATAAACTTGGTGCGATACATATCCATGGCACGTTGTAATAAAGTTTTCTTGTTGGCCAAAAAACGCGGGTTTAGCCATGCCAACTTCCATCCAAGCTCATTGCATATGCTTTCTTCAATGTAGCGTTGAGGATCACTATGATTCGAAGATGCGGCACGAGGAAATACCGTATTGGCTTGTCGAAAATCAAGAGGAATGTTATCCAAGGATACACCATCAACGTTAATCTTGATACGTATACGGTTGTTCGTCTCATCCACAATGATGAGGGTCTTTGGTGAATGTGCAGACTTGACTGTAGCAGCTGCAAGCGATGTAGGGAAAACACAATGATCCTCTTCTTCCTCCTCAGCTTCGGATGCAGATGGTGTGGGTGGTGCCTCTTGTTGTGAGGGCTGCTGTTTACGCTTTCGCAAGGTGCCATTGAGCAATTTGGCTTGTCGAGCTACACGACGTGACCGCATACTTGGTGTTCGATTGCGATATGAATCAACAGCACGCTGAATGAGGCCACGCTTTCCAGCAATCTCGGACTTGTTTAACCATGCCAGCTTCCATCCAAGACGATTACATTCGGTTTCATAGTTCCACCGATTACCACGATAAGTATCTTTGGGAAGATTGGCGCGTGGATATACCTATGCATTATAAAAACGTAAGCGATCACCTTTTACCTAGCATATGAATGGGATGCTTACACAGTTGTCAAGTTTGAAATTCTCATCCAAGGAATCAAGGGAGACATTTTGGATATCGGTGCGAATTGAATACCTCTTGACAACGCGGTTATGAGAATACACAAAAGATACCCATTCGATGCCATCGCGAATCTCAACCACAGGCTCACTACGGCTGGCGTTATTACACTTTGTGGTGGTACGTGGCCTTGAAGCAGGTCGTGGGTTGTACTCTTCATCCTCTCGTTGTTCGAGCTTCCTCTTCTTGACACGACGAATGGTTTGTTCAATCATGGCAATTTGCTCAGCACTCAAATCCTCTAAAGCTTGTTCAGCCTTATCCGGTGCATGAAGAAGATCATTCAATGTAAGAGCTATGTCATCCATTGTTGTATCGGCTGAAGGTTCAAGGGAAATGAAAGTGATAGAAGAGAAAGCGGAAAAAAAGTAGGCTCGAGCAAAAAGATTTCCCCCATAATTAAAGGCAAGAAGGCTTGTGTAACATGCACCATCCGAACACCTTCTCAATCTTCTCTTTCAGTCAAGTTTTCAACAGCTGAAGCCGTGAAAGGTTAACACCGTCTGAAGTGGAGCTTCATCGAGATCAGTTGTGGAATCCTTGGATGATCCCTGCCATAAGAATGGCTCCTCCAATGTTTTACATATACATGGTTCCTGCTGATGATGATACTACATCACGCGTAAACGAGATTTTGTTGACTTGCATGTAACCGTTTGCCATTGCAGCCCCCCAAGTACTACATTCACTTATGATCCTTAACCTTCACCGTATATTGTTTCTTTGCTGCATCATTGTGGACGGCCCCAATGGTGGCGTCTCATCCAGCTCCGTGTAACATATGCAAATCATGATAAAGAAGATGTTGTCAGATTCAGGTATCGTCAATGCTGAGCCCAATCTATATACGCTCATCGTACTATTCACATACGTGAGCAAGTGAGTCTACAAAAGATGTTGTAGTCCTATGAGAGCATTTCCTTGCGAAGGATTCAGCATATACCATTTAACGTACCCAGTCGTCTCATGATGTATCTATATTTGTTATCTGATCGAGCGGTGTTTTACTAACGTTTTTCAACCATCGTGAAAAATTTAGACTTCTTTCCATGGATAGTACGTTGTCGATGATGTGATTGATCACTTTCCTCTCTTGTCGCCGCTTTCTCTCTTGTCTTCTTTTCTTAAGATGGCATGGCATGCCTCGTAACATGATCTTGTACTCATCCGCATTAACTGGTCGAATTTGCCATGAAAGGAATGTCACACAGAGTCGTGCATAATCCAGCAAAACGCTGGGTCTGTACCAAAACGAGACAAAAATCTGATAAATGATTCCATTTATTTCTATTCTCACCCCCCACACAAACATTGGGCACATCAAAGTATACCCCCAGGCAAAGAGCAGATCTCATCTTGCGTGCAGGTGATAATAATAAAGATTCACGGATTATCTGTAACAGCTGTGTATATGCCCCAATCATGGCATACAACCCAATACAGGTGCGTGGTGCATCTCGTATTACCTTCGTTTTACCATCATCTGATCTTGATCAAGATTAATGGTCTTAGCAATACCTACAATGGTAACACGCTGGCTTGATTACAAGTACAATAAGGCGTTATTTGTGATTTGTAGGGTGGCAGCGAAGGAGTAAACTAGCGCATGCTGTCGGCAAATCGCAGCCGTATATCTGACAAAGTACTCGTTACGTTACAATACGCGGAGAAGTATACTACTACAAGTGTATTATATGATGACTACTCCGATTTAGTGCCTATGATATTCTTTTCTCCTCGAATAATAATCAGCCGCCATAGCGTACATGACGCGATCGACAGACACATTTTTGCCACGTGCCACCAAATACGGGAAAGTCTTAGTACAAAGCAACATCTTGATGCTTTTATCAGCAACGCTCATTCATCACCATTCAAGGTGTATTTGCAAGCAATGAATCCAAGTAGTCCAATATTAAGGGCAGCATAATGTGTCGGTCTTAGATGCTTTAATTGCATGTCCCAAATTTACGTATCCTTGGATGTATGAAAACTGAGACAATGGAATCCAAAGATCGCCTGTATAATCATCCAGCCGATCTGATTAGATCGTCACAGTGCTTATCAATGATTACAAGAGTTGTTGGATATTCGGACCTCATCATTTTACTACCATGATCGTGTGACAGTGTACGCTTCTTTATTAGTATCACGTGAAGTATCATTCAGCTGATAAAAACAATATGGCTTCTTGAAAGTGTAAGGAACAATGGGATCAAAAATGTTTCGCGCATAATGCGTGGTTGTGGTTGTGGTAATGGCACGTGTTCATTTTCATTTTCTCCTTGTTCAGTTTCACTCCTCCACTTTATCCCCCAACAACAATGGAGCATGAGGCCGCTGACGAACAACTCGTATGTCGCATTAGGACTTGACATTTGCAAGTTGACAAGAAGGATAACTTACATTTGGCTTTAGCAATTGAAGGCTGCCATTTGGCGAACCGTGGACCAAATCGCTCGGGCAGAAGGTATTCATTCGCATACGATCTTGTAAAGCGTCGACATTAATAGCTCTCGAATCGTTTACAACAGCTGAAAAGATGGGAAAGACGGTATCCCAAGGATTTGTGTCGTCTCTCGCTGATATCGTATATGCTCAAGCAGGTAACGAGGATGATGGCTGGCTTGGTAACGATCTGACAGAGACATACAGTGACCATGGCGACCGATTTGGAAATGTTTGCAAAGTAAGCTATCTATGGGATCTCGTGTCAAACGTATACTCATTCAATGAAAACCGTTATTGTTGCTAGGCATGGTAGGCGAAGTACTATATCCATGGATGATGTCAAGGTAATTAAAGATGGGGGGAGATGCCATGTTCTCATTGTATCTAATTCATTGTGTGCATTGGTTAGCTGTGTGCCCGTCGTAATGATAACTTGGTAAGAATCGATAATGCTCTTCATCCATCACTCAGCTCAAGCGCTCACATGTCGACTAGCATGAATTGATTACGGAGGCTGCCCAGAAGATTTCGCGAAAGAAATGAAAGATCAATATACGATGTATCTCTGTGTACAAAAATACAAGCCGTTTACGAATGAGGATTCCGTGAATGATGTGGGGATTGGGATGTACGTATGGTGTCCTTATTTGAGCAAAGAGCAATCGATGTCAACAACACGTGGAATGATCAACCAGTAATGTGCTTAAGATATACAGGATTGGATCTTTATATGTAAAAGCAGAAGAATAGGAGTAGTAGATATATAAAGTAAGGGTGTGGTATGAATATACAAGGGTAGACGATGATGATTATGATGATGGTGGTGGTGGATAAATATAGCATAATGCAAGAGAAATAAAGATGAATGATTTATACCATGATAACTGCTGGAGCATCCTTTTCATCCTTGGTGTCATGGTTTTCTTGTGAAGCAAGATCGAGAGGATGCACAGGTGAGGTAACTGGCAATGCATCATCATCCTCACTTGGATCATAGCTGAATATCATGGAACGGAATGATTCACATTGCTCTTCTTCTTCGTGTGCAAATTCATCATCATAGGCAGAGTCGACGGCTGTTGAGTCGTGTTTGTTGTTGGAAGAAGAAGAAGGAGGAGGAGGAGCCAATGTACGTGGTGGAGAAGGACCAACAAATACTTGACGAGCGACACCACGGCTATCAAAGTACACCAATACATCGGCTACTTCATCACCACCGGATCCCATGGCCTTTTCAGCAAGGTAGCCAGCGTCTTGGCCATATCGTTTGTAGATCATGTCGACAACGCCATCACGTGAAGATGCCAACACAGTACCCGTTGCCATGGCTAAACCTGCTACGACATTATGTGCTGCATGGAACAGGGATACTCCCAGATGACGTGTTGCATTTTGGACCGGGTCTCGTTGGTGCATTTGCGTGTCACTGTACATTGTGTTGATGCCTGAAGCTGCAGCTGTGGTTGCTTTGCTGATAAGGTCACCGGCACCTTGAATAATAAAACGTTAGGCAATTCCTTTATACACTTGCTGATGATAACTTACCTTTAAGAAGAGTGCGATTGACATTGTAGAATGTATCAATGTATTGTCGATCCGTTTGCGAAAGGCGTAATGTTTTCTCTGCTGGCTCGATAGTACTGCTCACTTTTTTGCTTTGTCTAGATCATCGTTAGCTTATATGAAAAGGGGCGTCATTGTAACACACTTACACTTGGATGCCACGTGCTAATGCTCTTCCGGCAACAATGATTGAATAGGCAAGCCAGTCTGATCCAGCCACCAATGCGTCACCCGTACGATACATGAGCTTCACTCTACGGCTTCCAGGCTATATACCACTATCATTAGTTTTTGATTGCAAGTGGATCATGTAACCACACATACCGAAAAATCAGCATTCTCCATGAATACGGGTCGCTTGGGATCATCGTTTTCTTGTTCTTCAAGCACCACGTTTCTTGCAATCACCTCTGTTACTTTGCAAGAGATGGGATTCATCATGGCGAGTGCGTTGCGTAGTCGATGACGGTTTTCATACTTTATAAAGTATGTGAGAAAATCCTGCAAGGAAGAGAATGCATCAGGATCCGAGGCACTGGAAAATTAGAATTAGCAACTTGATCTTGCATATCATGTTTAACCTTGTTGTCATTACCTGCAATCCAATCTCCAACGACCTCCTTGTTGACGATCAAAGACAAGCATTGTATCCGTTTGGAGCCACGCGTTCGATTGAGGTGTCAAGGTGATGGAGGCAGCTTCTTGGCCATAGTAGGTGACAAAGCGTAGGATGATTTGGTGCTTTTTATCCGAGTAAACGACAACGTGGCCATCGCCCACGTGCTGAATTTCACCATTTTCAAAGATGGATAAAGAAACACGGTCGATAGTATTCAGATGCATCAATTGGGTCATTGTTACAATGAAAGAGATAAAAGAAGAATGAGACTTGTCAAAAGGAAGAAGGAGGAGGAGGTGTATTATAAAGGAACAATGAAATTGGTACATAAGAAATTCTTGGATAGGTGACACAAGAGGTGATATTGTAATAAGATTTGCACCGAGATTGGTCAAGGCCTGCTTGATGATGTCGTCGGTAATTGATTCCTCATCTCATCCACTTGTTTCCGGTGGAGCATGAAAGCTGGCGTGATCCATCGTCCACAAGAACACTGGGCACCAGCCCAATTGTATTGTCCTAGCTTTGACATACATTTTGGGCAATCAATACGTCCTTCCACTTCACCATCCAGCAAATTCCCCATCCATTCCATAGGCTCAATAAAGTAGGATGAACATTGCATTCGGGAGGCTGCCAGTGATGCCAATAAGGGATTGAGTGGCTGATTGGTTGTCATGGTTGCTGTAGGTGCACTGGTAACATTGAGCTCTCCATTGCGTTTGGTATATGAAAAGGCCAATTGACCCTTGCCTGGGGCGTGCTCTAGAACGTGCTCCACCTCGACTAGTCTACGTCTATTATAATTTCACATGGGTTTAGTTTCTTGCTCTCGAGCCACATGATACACGTGGCATTACACAAAGGCACACACACACACCACTTACCGGCATTTCTTGCATCGGATTGATTTCTGGGATGTTGTCGATCGGTGTACTTCAGGATCGGGTGTCAGTGCCAAGTTGCTAATGTAACCGGTTTCTGGTGATACACATTTTTTAGTCATTTGCCAAGATACATCATCATTCGATCATTTACCTTGTTGTTCTTTGGCATTGCTATCCACTAAGAAACGTCGATAGGCAGAGTGCTTTGGATCCACATCGTACTCCAATGTATGATACAACTCCAATTGATCAAGGAATCCATCGTTGGGAGCAACAAAGGCACGTCGATCACGAATCATATCAAGCGTCTTTTGTACATCCAGTTTGCCCTTGCGCATCATGTAAGCTGCCACAATGGTTGTGCTGCGAGATACACCTGCTTCACAATGTACAAGCACCCGTTGCTTTGCCGCTCGTGCTTCGTCAATAAACTCAAAGGTCTCGTTGAAGTATTGGATCAAGTTCTCTTCCTCAACGTCGAGTACATGAATGATCTATCGACTGCATGTAAGTCTATGCTGCACGCTAAGGGTAGGCCATGTGTGTACCTTGTAGGTGATTGAGTCGTGAATGGGTTCAAAGTTCCCCAAGGACACCACATGGGTAATTTGACTTTGCTGAAGATTCTCGAGTGACGCTCCTGCTGAACTGCTTCCAAGGAATAGCCGAGGAATGATTTCGTGCATGCTGCCGTTCGTCATTTGCAAGGAAGGAGGAGGGAGTTGGGGCTGTCAAGGAACAAAAGAAAGAACAGCGGACCTGTGGCTTTGATATCCCGTTGCACTGCATGAAGAATTACGGCACATGTAATTACCCGCTGCTCGACACAAGATTGTATGTAAAATAGCTTTTTGAGTTATCTTACACCATGCGACCAGAATTGAGACTTAATTTGAGACCAGCTGGAACTTAGGCGAATATTTGGAGCATGTGTGATGAGGGATGTCAACGACCATGTGACCCCGCAATCTGGGCAAAAGAGAACAGCATCATTTTCCCCTCACTGAACCCACCGTTATCAACATAAACACAAGTGCCACCCATGTCCCACAGTCCCAAATCTTATCCCAAATCATATAAATATCCCCTCTTTTCAATAAAGTATCAGCAGTGAGCTTCTTGTTTCAGAGCGACCTAGTTTGGGATCCTGCTTGTGAGTGTGAGCGTGTTTTCATATAGTGTAGCGAGCTTTATTCTTATTGAGATATTTCTATAGTGATCCTTTTCCTCACTACCACATACGTTATTGCTATCATCCTTGAGCTTTTCCACATCGTGCTTTTGAGACCCCTTTTGAGGTTTCCATTACATATACTATTGCTGCAGCAGACCATTCGGTACGTGTTTTAGGATAGATGTCCCCTTTTTATTCCACGAGGGCTCACATGGCAGGGTTTTCAGACTTAGGCCTTGCTGCTGATATTCATCCGGTTTCGATATTTCACATGAAGTTATCGGGCTGAGACTTTCAGATCGGGACTGAGACTTTAGCCGAGACCAGCCAGATAACAGGCCAAGATTTAAGCATGTAGAAACACATCCCACTGTGAAAACATCCAAGCATCAACATTATTGATGTCATTCAATAATAACACGTATATTTTGCGTATCAAGAGATGTCGTATCTTTGTCATTGAAACGGGAAAGCCGGCAACGAGCCCTCATGTTGACTTCATCACTATATCGATCATATGCACACACCAAGTAGGGATGAGTGCTCTCTACGAAAGTCAGGTATTGGAGTGTATCACATACATAATTAGGTTGCATGAAACCACATCCGTCCTCGAGAAGGTACGATATCAGTAAACATAAAAAGGTCAAGAACATGAAATAATACTTGTGGACGTTACTTTGAGAAATAAATACGAGAGCATGGCATTAGTGTTTCATTATTGGCGAAGAGTCCTTGATGGTATCCTATGTCTAAAGCGACTTTGAAATGGACAATGATTCGATGTCTATGTCCGAACAACAAGCGATCATGGTCGCCCGTAATATACAATTTCTTCAGCATTATTGAGACTAAGGATGTCATGAAATGCCATCGTGTGATTGGGGCTTTAAGAGCCAAAGGGCTATATAGCCAAAACACTGACACCGAACCCCAGCTGGATAACAAAGTGCCAGGCAAAGATAAAGAAAAACTATGAATGGTCTTTCTGCTTCCACGGGTTGTTACAGTAAACCTACTTAAGATACGTATATCTAAAACATTCATCGCAGTAGTGGCAAAGCCGATACCTTGGGGTTGCAACAAACGAAAGAAACGGTAGCAGTATTTTATTGTGTTACTCAGCTGCTTAATCGGAGTACATACACAACGCAAACTACACCTCTTCACCCAGAATCTCCCAATGACGAAAAGCTATGACATTCCACTGGGCCCTGAATTCTTCGATGCCGTATCAAAAGGTATGTTGTATTCTTATATTTCGACAAGGTTTTCACATAATTAGCAGATGGGGAAGAGATACTGGTGTTGAATGCAGCCAAGCTGATAAGTCGAGCGAACGAATTATGGGGAAACGAGGGATGGTCCTCAGAGACAACGATTGAACAGATGAAATACGTAAGTTCAGGATTGTATTTCGCATTGCAACACGTCCCTAATGGAAAAACAGCCACCCAAGAAACATGGCGATGTTGCAGTAATAGCAACTTCTACGTGCACCATTACAGGGGGAGGGGGTAACACACACAAGGTAAGCGCTATACCATGTCCGCCAGGTGAAGGTTTGTTGATGTGTTCTCGCGCATTTAGTGCACAGCTTCATCTTTGGTGAAGGGGGATGATCTACACCGTATCATACAAGAAGTTAGTAGATAATTATCGCATTCTTCGTGTTATTCATTTGGTTTGCTATTAGGCTACAAAGAGATCCAAGGAGGAAGCATTGGTGGAAGCATTGTCACGATTCGGCGAAGGACTAGGTTTATGTGGACAAGATCAAGAATACATGGAACAGATCAAAGACATGGATGTTCCAACGAGAGTACGTAATAATCGTTTTCATCGATGTGTCGACCTAATTCTATCATCTTTTTAGTTTCCGTTTGACCCGGATCATATCGCTCACCATCCTCAATATGATCCATCGACGACAAAGAAGAGACCAGCGGTCGAGATACCAGCCCCTCCAGAGCCAAAAATTAAGAAGACGAATACACAACAAGGTAGCAGAGGGAGTGGAGGTAGAGGGAAAGGAGGTCGTGGACGAGGAGGCAAAGGCGGTAACCAATCGTCAACAACCACACCCTCTCCATCAGCTCCAACCGATCCAACAACCACACCCTCTCCATTAGCTCCAACCGATCCAACAACCACACCATCTTCATCATCCACAGAAATGTCAACCACACCATCTTCATCATCCACAGGAATGTCAACCACACCATCTTCATCATCCACAGAAATGTCAACCACACCATCTTCATCAAGCTCAATTGCTTTCAAAAAACAAGCATACACACAAATGAAACTCCCATTTGATAAGGGGAAAAAGTAATATCACAAACATAGCCATAACGCTTCGCTTTATTGATACCATGAAATAAAATCACTTGCTGATAAACGTGATAAAAAGATACTAGCTATAGTAGAATGGCTGTTGATATGATGACTAGATAATGGTAGATTCAATTTTGTGTGATGTTGGCTAATTACGTGATGAAGAAGTAGGGCGTTGAAAATGGGGGTCAACGTAGCCTTCTATCTTGTCCTTCAAGCATTTGTGCAATATGTTGCGCGCTGCGTTTTCATCTCTATTCCAGAAGATTTTGCAGTCTTCACAATACTTAACAGCAAATATGGTATTGTTGGAATCCTCATGCTTCACGTTCTTCAATCTTTGGAAATCATCCGTACACAGCTGGGAGCATTGTTGCGACGTGCGATATTCGCTGGTATATGATAGTGTCATATGTCGTCCCATGGTCTTGGGGAATCGATGTGTTGGTATAGCACGATGGCCACGCATGGCGTGGTTGAATGATGCATCGCCGTAAGCCAAGATAATATCTTTCTTCTTAGCTGCTGAATCTGAGCATCTCCACACAAAGTTAGCGAAATCGTCAAGGGTTCGCTGCCGATAGCGGAAAGATCGCCATGTATCTTCTCTGTTGTTGCCATTGAATTCCACCAAGTGCTTGAATGTTCCATTGTCGAGACATGATCGTAAATGAGCTTCGTATTCTCTTTGATCCGCGGTCTTTCGTAGCACCACACGACGCTCTCGATCCACAGTAGTTGGGTCCATCAATAACCTCTTTTGACGATTGATCCTGGCTTGGTTATGAAAACATTGGTGATGATACTGCTTGCCGGTCAATTCGATGACTTGAGGGGGATCGTTTGATTCGTGATCAACTGTGGTGTTGGTCATAGTGACGATACTTCTGATGCCAGGATCGCAACCCCAGATGGTGCTATCCTTTGATATCTCGGGTTCTCCCTCTGCGTCCTTTCCCATCAAATCATGTTCCTTCCAGGTGTTCGGCTTTGGCCTTGTGCAGACTAATCCCGCTTTGATGCCATCAGTCGTCAAAAAATGATCGAAATGCTTGTTCGTGCCGCCCACACCTTTCAATAGTGATAAATCGAAGAAACGATCCCAATGTTCGTCCCGTTGTTCCAAAAACGCATTTTTGCCGCCGGTGGGTAACTGATGCCCTCCGAGTCTCAGGATATCATACAGCGCAGCCGTGTCGACTTGTATACTGACTTTTGTGAATGAGGGCTGCGGTAAAAGAGAAAATTTGCGATACAATCCGCTTGGCTGCACGATTCGCGATGGTGCGAATACCCCTCGTTCGATCTTGTCAATGGTGGAATCGACTTTTTCATAAAGGCTTTCCATTGATGCTGGTGTCAAAAGGTCGTAAAGACGTTGTGGAGGGTTGAAAGTGCGACGTTGGATAATCGCGTTTTTGAATTCACACTCGAGTGCCGTCAATGTCCTATTCGATGGCTTTTGTACTTCTGCTTTCCATTTGCCGTATATCTTGGCGACTGTTTTTGGCACCCAAAACTTGGGCGGTGTGTCACATGGTATCTTCACCTTTTGAGGAGCTTCGGCTTCATCCAGATACTGTAGAATGTCGATATGCAATGAAAAAAGGTGCTCCACATTGGCCTTGAGCTTCTTGTACGACATCGGTAATATAGGACCAAGTTTCAAGGTGATGTCCTGGTAAATGTCAAATACGCCATTCCTATACGATAAAGTTGATATAGAAATATGTCACGTATATAGCACGTACCTTTGATTATCAGTAACCGGAACATCGGTGTTCAAAATCGTCCACAATGATTCTGCTGTCTGCTGTGTCTGGAAATCCATATTCTCGTCTTCATCACCATCGTTCCACAATGAGTTGACGATATGCTGTGAAAATCTTTTCAAGGTGTTGTATCCCAGATTGTTCACCATTCCATCGATATGACTCATTTTCAAAGTGAGAAATCGTTCGAGCCGTTTATCGAAATGTAGGAAAATATTCAATCTTGTATTGAGTGCATTCTGGTCAGCTGCATAGGTTAATATCTGTCCCAGATATTCGCGACTGGTGAATGGTTGGTCGACTCTCAATGCATTGTATCGTGTCCATGCTCCCATCAGATATCCGGGCACCATTGGCCGAGGCTTGCTAGGTAGGACGCTTACGGCCTGAAAGCAATCATTGTAGAATGCCGATTGCAATGGGTTCCTTTTACCCTCTTCAGATGAAGTATCCATCATGGCGTCCACATTGTCTGCATGCATGGCAGTGTACAAGTAAGCAAGCTTTGAGGCCTCGAACCGAATGAGCGATACTCGATCAACAGCAGTGTTCATTGCTTGATACAATGTGTCGTCATTGGTGATAGTCCGCAGACCAATATTGATTGTGTATTTTTCCTTAGGTAGGTCCATATCCATAGCCTTTTGCGCTCGGATTGTCGTTTGGTTGTATAGGCACTGAGATGCAGTCCTTCTTTTGTGGGGAGGGAGACCCCCGCAATCACAAAAGCTTTCCTCCTTCCTCTCCTTTTTCTTGACCTCAAACGGTTTTTTTGGCGTCCTTTGAACAACATGAATATAAGCTTAAGGAAAAATAAAATGATTTAATATTACTTTTTTGACTTCTTCTTTGATGGAGATGCAGACATGGGGGAAAATAGACAATGTGGAAAAGGCAAACGGGGAGGGTGGAAAAGGTATGTGGGAAGCTAAATGGGGTGTGGAAAAGGAAAATGATCGTGTCGTTTCCTGTCCCCATCAAATACAAGCTGAATTCAAACTTAGATTGATGCGCATCAAACGAGTGTTAGACGGTTTTAGGTGGCGATCGCCTCTATGAAAGTAATCAACCTCCATGATATCTATTGCAGTAAGATAATTCATGCAAGAACTCGCTCACGTTATTATTTTCTCGCCAGCTCATGAAGTTTTGAATTCATACAGTGATCGAGAAGTGATTCCTTTAGCGTCAACGAGTGTCACATTTTGCCATATATGCAACAATGATGGGGTTATTTTTGGTTCATGATTCTGCGCTTCCTGCTACTGGTATCAGCACCGAGTTTTCCTTTTACTCGATCATTAATACACCCGTGTCAATGATCCCTTGTTTTCTACTCACGACCCACAGGACCAAGACGAAGAAACTATATCCTTACAACTTGTGTCTACGTAAAATTAATGCAAACAACACCTTTGTGATGCTGTACAACAAGATAATGATACAGGCTTACTACTTTTGTGCTCCCATTGTTGAGCCTAGGATTCGTGTATCAACAATGACGCGCATCCCTTATCTTGTATCTTGTGAAGCAACACATCCATGCATTAACAACAGCTTTTTTTTCCCACACGTGGGTATGTGAGTCGAGATACAGATCTTGTTCCTGCTACAACTCAGTGACCACAACACGCTCACCTTTCTCATACTTTTTGAGCTATGGATTCGTGTGTCAACAATGGCACGCTTCCCTGAATCAATACTTTCATGCATCGACAACAGCTTTTTTTTCCTCTCTACACTTGGCTGTGTGAGTCAAGATGTAAGTTTTTACATGACCCCCTTTTTTCTCGTGCTCAATGAGCCTTGCATGCATGTGTCAACAAGTGTCACGCTTCCCTTATCTTGTTTTTTTGTGAACCAATACTTTCATGCATCGATGACAGCTTTTTTTCCCCAACACTTGGCTATGTGAGTCGATATGCAGGTTTTTACATGACCCCCCTTTTTTCCGTGCTCAATGAGCCTTGCATTCATGTGTCAACAATGACACGGCGCCCTTATCTTGTATTCTGTGAACCAATACACTCATGTATCGACAATGACACATCCCTTTTCATTGGACGGAATAAAGCTAGTCTATGCAATTGTTCTCAAGGTACGCAAACAACATGGATCATTTTCTCTCCCTACTCGGGACCCACTTATGGAGAAACGATATAAATATTGGACACGCCCCAATCTTATGCCTCTTTAGATTTATCTTCACACGCACACGGTTCGTATTGGATATTCATTCAAGCTCTGTTTTTGCATGTACTCATTTCAAACATTTCAACTATAGCTGGACATCTCCACTATCACGTCCTCCGTTTTACTGCTGCTGCCACCACCAAGCTTGTCCTCCTCCTCCTCCTATATTCTTTCTCGTCTGGTGCTTTCACCCTACTTTCTCGTTTCCTTTGTCCTCTCTCGCGGTCGTGGATGCTTGTCAGGATGCTTGAGACATTGGGTCAGCTGTAAACCGTCCTCAAGTATTTCTGGAGTACCAAGCACCACAACACACTTCAACAAGACCGCCCAATCATGCTTTGGTGCCCTTACGGGGGGGAAAGCCACGACATGGGTTCATCTTTGATTTACCCTGCATTCTTACTCGAGGTAAGCTGATGATGGGCGGTTCACGTACATGATAACTAACATAATTTCAATCGCTTGGCTACACTCCTTCTCATCCTCTCGCTGGTCTTTCCTTTATTGGTTTCTTTACTTGCTGTTTCCCTTATCGTTATTTGTATCTGTTCTTCTTTTGAAATACCGACAACAGATAGCTTTGTATATTAGTAACGAAGACAAGGATATTATAGTTACTATTCTAAAAGAGAAAATGGTATATATATATAAAGATCATTGTGGACGCATGGATGAAGGAATGGATATGAGTTCTGGGGCTTCTTCCAAAATGAGCATCATCCCCATGAGCATGTGTGGTGCATTATGACAATGCATTGCCCATATACCAGGATTATCCTACAACACCTCATTAGCCCTATGATACAACTACACACGTCGATCCCACAACTTACTGCCAGTATACGGATCTTGCTCCAACCACAGCCAACCTGATCTGTTGCCAAGGTACCGTTGCCATGGATATCTTCAGCTGGATCAGGTCGAGGATACACAAGGGTCACGTCCTTTTGCAATGGATTTGGGACATTACGTATACTACCATCTCGTGCTTCATCATATTCACCAGTACCGTAAGCGATTTCCCAATGTGAATGGCCGTGTGTGTGCCATGGATGGCTGCGACATGGCTCCCCAGGAATATGTGTGGATTGTAACACAAAATCAACAATCTCAAAGTATTGAAGTGGATAGGTGCCAAGATATGGATCATAACCATTGGACGTTTTTGCAGCAGTAGGAGTAAAAATAGAAGGTGGACGACGAGTGTGTTTTGCAAGATCCATAAGGATTGGCGTGCTTGGCTCAACAAAGGAGACATCGTTAATGAACCAACGTGTAGAACCATCAGGCATCTTTTGATCAGTAGCACGTAGTTTCACAGTGCGTGAAGCAGGCCTATACACCACCGGATCAACCCCATGGAGAGGTTCAAGATTTGACCACATCCATTGAGGTGTTTCAGCCACAGGGAAATGAGGCTGATTGCGTGGTAATCGCGTGACAACAGCCCCTTTTTCTTGCGTTTGCACCTGACGCTTACTGTTGTTGCTACTACTACGTCGTCGCGATTCACGCTTGTGATATCGAAGAATAGCCATGCCATTGGAACCTCGACTTACATCCTCAGCCCAACGACGATTGGTGCCAATAGTGTAATCATTTAATGGTTGTGTTGTATGCAACAACACCGAAAATCGTTGTCCAGGTGCCACCTCTAGAAATGGTACTGAATAAGGTTTGATAGGTTCGCCATCCACTTCGATGATAGTAAGGTTATGATGTGCAATGCCAAATCCAAGGGTACGGAAAGTTGACGCGCCAATAACACGAAGACGATACGTACGTCCACGTTCAACATCGATGATTGAGTACCCTTCACAAGATGATGATGATGGATTGCCAATGTTGTGCACTGTACGCCCATTCACTAAAACACTTTGTGCCTCGGGAATCAATTGGAATTGAGGACCCAAAAAGTATTCTTCCAAGGACGCACGGCTCACGTGCCACCATTCACTTAAGCTAATAATACGCTCATCATCATATTTTTCCGAAGGTCCATTTGCTTCGTGGATAATGAAGGGACCAAAAACGGTTTGTTCTTGTAAGCCGACATGTGCGTGATAAAAGTAAGTACCGGCTTGGTTGATGACTCGAAATTGATGCACGTATTCAGCACCTGGTGGAATTGGATGTTGTGTAAGAAAGGGTACGCCATCTGCATCCACTGATCCATATTGACGGATGCCATGAAAATGAATTGTCACGTCGTTTAATCCCGCACCGCTCACGTTGGATGCTGGATGCGATAATGCTGGCAAGAAATTACGCACCGTGATACGCACATAATCGCCCTGCGTAACAGTAATTGCTGGACCAGGTAATTGCTGATTGACAAGTACTGCGTTACCATTATAGTCGGAGCAATCAGGGTTGATTTGCTCCTGTGTAATATTAAGCTCATATTCCACAGGATCATTGCTACTGCTTCCTCGTCGTGCCATGATTGCTGGTGGCAACACCATCATCAACGTAGTCATCACCACGATCCAATGCCTCATGTAAAGTAGTAGTAGCATCTTTACGTGTCCGGAAAGATAGAAAAGAAAGTGACTGAAATGCCAAACAAAAAAAAAGATTCACGGTTGTCATGGCTCTAAATAAACACTACTTTTGGGTTGGATTGTAAAGACAACAGGCAAGGGAGGCTCACTAAATTGCCACCCAAAGGAATAAAATCAAACATTACACATGTCAGGGTAGTAATCAATGATCGTTTACTCGGTATTTCTCCAAATGATCATGCACGTTGTCATCATAAGGCTCGAAATCCAATCCAACGGATGGTTTATAGCGCGTGACCCATCATCATTATCCTATACTCAACCATCACCTCCCGTTTCCAGGAACACTTGTAACCATGGATATGAAATCTCGGAAAAGTCTTTGAGCGTGGGTATGAACTTGTATTGTGTGTGGGTGTGAGTAAGCGTGTACGTGTGTGTGTGTGTATTCTTTTATGGGCTTGGCAATAGAACGGGTGGCAACCACATGCACACACACAAACAAAAGACACAGCAGCCCGTGCGTCTTACCTAACCCTATATCCTTTTACGGAAGGTATCGATCGCCACTTCTCCCACACTTTCCCTGGGCCAGGCTACGACTTTCCATAACGTACGTTCTATAGCGTTAAATACATTACTTGTGTATCTGTAACCCCAATCCTCATTCACACGGGAAAACCTTGAGTGAGCTTTAAGCATTACACGGGAGATCTATTACCACACACAAAACCCCTTGCAGCTGCATGATCGCTCTTTTTTTCTATTGATGCTGAGATGCTGCAAGAAAAGGGGTCACTGCTCAAACCTGCTTCCATTGCGGAGAACACAAGATTACAACTATTGGGGATTTGCTCACATTGAATTATAACCGGACATGTCAAATGGAGCTATATCATACCGCTGAGTGGTGCATCATTGCGGAGATCTACATGGAACAACAATCTTATCCATTATCAATGATGTTATTATCAAAATGACAATGTACAATCCTATGCTAGCTTGTATGTGCTCCTTTCCTACATGCAGCTATCTTGTCCTCGGTATGCAACCTAATGCAAAAAGAACAACACCTTATACATACATTCAACAAAGGAAGAGCTATTCATCCGAAACGAAGAACTCAGTGTTGCACACCCAGCTGGAGGCGGAGACCAATGAGCCATCCAAAAGGCTCCCTGGGTCTATAGTCCTTCCCCGCATTTCAGCAACAAGTTACCCTCTTTACCAGTTTTGGCAGTGTTTCTGTTTCATGGGAAAATAAAGTAAAAGGATCAAGCGGAACTTTTAGCTTCCACGTTCTCTTCCCCACTTTTTATCATGTCCACAACAGAAACAACTTTAACGGACACGTCAATGAATAATGATGACTTGGCAAACGCATTGCTTCAAAAAGTACCAGCAACAACAGAATCCAAAGGCGATGGCCACCATGGTGAGCAACCTGTCAAGATACGCAAGAAACCAGGCCGTAAGCCCAATCCAGCATCGCCTGCACTGCGTAAGGCACAAAATCGCGCTGCACAAAGAGCCTTTCGTGAGCGTAAAGAAAGACATTTGCGTGAACTAGAGGCCACTGTTAAGCAAATGCGAGAAGAACGTGAGCAACTTCAAGCTGAAAACGAGCAACTCAAGCATGACTCGGATGTGCTCAAATCCGAAAACTGGTATCTCAAGGGCATCGTGCTTACCTTGCAGCTGGTCTGCTATCGACACAATTTGGTGATTCCACAACATAGTCCATACATGAATGAGGAGGCATTGGGGATGTTGGCACAATCCATTCCCGAACCTATTGCGGCCTATATTAGTGCCAACGCTAATAACAAATTACCCATCCCATCCCGGTGGCAAAATAATACTACTACATCATTCGAGCTCACTGGTGGTGCTTCGATGGCTCCCAAGAAACCACGTAATCGCTTCTTGTCACAAGGATCCATTGTTATCACCAAAGATGGTATTCAATCACTGCCAAAGTTGCAAGAAGCACCCCGTTCATTTCCGATTGACAATAACAACAACAACAACGAGGCATTTTCTGATCCTGAAATTGCTTTGCCCGCTTTATCGCCTGTGATGCCACAAGTGCCTTCAAGCCCACCACCACCCACCACGCAACAACAACAACAACCCATACGCATGCAGCCACCTAATCCACCACCACCACCACCATCATCATCACAGCATGAAGATACCATCACATCCAACCTTGCTGCTATTCAAATTTTACGTTTACGCTTGCGTCTTCAATCGGTGTGCCAGCAAATTGATACACAACATTTTGCAATTCAACCTACGGTCTTACAGGTAAGGAAAAGGAGGATAATAGAAAAGGATGGGAGATGATGGTTGACATGTATTGTCATTAGTTGACGATTCCTCATGACCCACGTATTGATCTCATCCCTACGCCCCATATGCGTGATCGCATGATTCTCTTCCGTGACCTATTTGATTTGGATGATTGCCTACGATGTCTTATCGGCAATTCAACGTTCCATGGAGGTGATCCTGCCGTGCCATCCAACTGGCAGCTCCCACCTGAATTCTTTGACAAGTTTTGGTTCTTGACTACTGATTTTTCATTGCAACGTATCACAAACAAATGGCGCAAGGCTCAAGGATTGGATGAATTGCAGCAGCAGAATTCAAACGATCATGTCAGCAATAATGCCACCGGTGGTCAATCTTTACCCGACATGTCTGAGCTAGCCAGTTTCTTTTTCCCGTCAACACAACAACAGCAACAACAAACATCATCATCCTCATTCTCATCCTCATCATCCAGCAGCATCAGCAGCAAAAGTAGTAGTGCCGATGAGGGTGGTGATGTATTTTGCTCGCCTATTCAGCTCACCCATCATAGCGGGTACAGTGGCAAAAGAGGAGATGACGATTATACATATGGTGATATCGTGTTTGGAGATAAAGATGTCGTCATGGGAATGGATGTTTGCCCACCTTGGGATGATGCTCTTATGTCGGCTTCCCCCACGGATCAGGATTATGGTATGTATTGTCATTTTTTGGAGGGAGGTTTTTGAATGAGGAATCTAATCTCTTTGTTTTCCTTTTTAGACACGCTTATGGAAAGCCTGATCCACACCGAAAACGAGTAATACCAATTCATAATCTTCATTCGATCATCCCCAACAACACCCTTCATCTTCTTTGTCTTCCTCTCATCACCCTATCTATGTATGTAAAATAATCGTTCCTCCTTTTTCTCATTTGCACCTGCAAATGCTGTACATGTTGTTCTATAAATATCATTCATTATTATGTGTATCCTTTGTCATGAAAAGAAATTGCAGTAGTGTGTATATTAATGCAGAATGTTTGATCTATGTGCGGAAGAGGAGATAGAGGGAGAGAATGAATGTGTGTGAGAGTGTGTGTGTTGCATATGGTACAGTCGGGTGGAAAAAAGGGGAGATGAGGGAATTTAAGAAGAATTGTTACTGCTGCTGCTGCTGCTGCTATGGAGTCGTCGTAAGAGAACCCGCTCTTCATCGATTTCATGCTTGCTCAAATGGGGTATGTGCCGATCGGCTAAAGCAAGTTGATACACGCGATTGTAATCATACATGGGTCCTTGTTGGTTGCCACGATCCCATCCAAGTGCAAATGCACTGCTGATCATCCGTAATAGAAATTCCTCGCGTCTTATCTTGCTGTTCTTGTTACGTTGGTAATCGTAAGCTGCATCCTTGATAGCACTCTCCAATGATCGATCCGGTGAGTTGTTATCAAAGAGATAGGCATTGTACTCTTCACGACTTGTGACAATAGGTGCATGGGTTGTTCGATCACGTATCACACGGACATCTCGTTCTTGTTGTTGCATGGATGATGGACGATCGATCAAGAATTCCTTTAGACCACCAGCACCAGTAGAAATGACGGGTGTACCAAACAACAAGCCTTCCGCTGCCACAAGTCCAAAGCTCTCGGTCACACTTGGCACATACATGAAATCAGCAGCTGCACGACAAAGAGTGAGCCATCGACGCTGTTGTGAAGCAGATGACAACACCACTACATTCTCTGGATACTTGTCTTGTAACGCCTTGACCCATTTAAGTGGATAGTTGTTGGGTTGTCCAATCACCACAAATTTCATGTCGTTCTCCACAAAATGATGTGCTGCCTCTTCAAATGTCTCGAGTCCTTTGTTGTATTGAAATCGGCCAACAAAGAGCACCACAGGTCGTGTGAGATCAGCTTCCGATAACACCTTGCGTCGAATCAAATACTTTTTGGCCTGATCCTTCGCATATAATACAAAGTCTTTGTTGTTGGTTGATAAATGCCATGATGATTCCTCTCGTTGAGCCATTGAGTTGTTTTGATGTGATTTGAGCATGTCCAATGCATATTCGGAAAAGACGGCACGGCGTTGGATCAACACCTTGTTGGAAAATGGATCAAGCGCACCATAATCAACACCATTGGTGATACCGAAAAATCGCATTTGCTCCGCCTTGCGTAGAATACCATCCATCACAAATTCCTTGAGATAGAAATCATCACGACCTTCAACAATATCCTTGGCCATTTGACGACTGACAAAGGTGACAACATCCGCATAATCGATACCAAGACTGGACATGAAAGTGCGTTGATCACGTGTGTAAGGTTTGAGGGCATCTGTGTCTTCATTGATGTCATTGAAGAACCTGGCGGCATTGGTATAGCGGATCGAATACTGTAATTCATCAAGATAATCGTGCATCGTGTAGACAATGGCAGGCGTACGTGCACCCAATTGATTACGTCGTTCGAAATCACGCATGTATAAGGCTGTGTAAGCATTGGTAGCACCGTGAATATGGATGACATCCACGTGTCGGCTGGCCATCTGAGTAGGTGCAAATAGCGGCGTCTCATCAGCTGCAGCTGCTTGATGTGCAAGGAATTCGGCAGCGGCTTTGGTGAAATACTGATCCTTCCATTCCTGTGGCAAATCCTTTGGTGTCGAATAAATGTTTTGTACTTTGCTGGCACGAAACGCCTTGTTGAATGGCTTCCGGTTGCCAGGTCCAATCAGGTAAACAGGTACTTGTTCACTCGCTGGGATCGGAACTTGCATTTCCAATTGCTGCTGCTGTTGATAGTGTTCCAATGCTTCATCATAGGTCATATTCACCATTGCACCATCCACCCATGTAGCGTTGATAATTGGACCATCATCCAAGGTCGTGGCTGCTATGGTGATATTTGGCTGAGGCGGTGGCGGTGGCGGATTGAACACGTGCATCATCTTCCACACGCGGAATTCAACAGGCACCAATCGACCCTCATTATCGCGAACATCCACCACGAGATCTGTCACTCTATCCACCTTGTATTTCTTCTTGATGTATGAATAAAATGGCATCACCACAGCTGCATTGACTGTCCCAGATCGTTGCTGTGCTGCCGCCAGGGCAGTGACAACCATTCCCATGCCACCCATGGATGCCACACCAAACTCTTTGGTCACATGATAAATAGTTGCCCCTTGTACAAGTGATGTAGTGGTGCTGCTGCTCCTGGTTACGTATTGCGTATCATCCAAGTGTCGATATTGCATCTTTGGAAATTCTCGTAATGCTATAATGCGTGGCACAAACCAGAACGGTAAGAAACTTGTCTAATGTCACACAAAATCGATTCTTATTTCTTACCTATGCGGATGGATGCCGTTTTGCTATGTAAAAGACGACTGCCAACAAGGACACCCACAAATTGAATTACACCAAGCAAGACCATGAGAACGAATAAAACATGCCACCATCGCCATCTTCGATCATATTTCGAAAAGAATGAACGTGAACGAGTAGGCCGATCATGCGTTAAAGGAAGTCGATGATTGGATGGTCTACGTCGTTTCCATACAGGAGGCAATGCTGAAGAAGACAATGGCGATTGGGTGCAAGTGATTGTAGAAGAGGAAGAAGGGATGGTGGTAGCTGTCCACGCGCCAGAATTTCTTCGATGAAAGCCAGTGGTTGTGATGCTGTACATGTCGCCGCGTAGTCCATTAGGCGGCGGTGGCGCCATTGTAGTGGGGTAATGAGTGGAAAGGGGTTTGTTGGTACCTGACACACACACACACGGATACACCGAGAGAGAGGTGGAAGATATAAAAAGAAAGAGAGAAAGAGAGAAAAAGGAAGGAAAAGAACTACTGCTTGCACTGCCCTGTTTCTTTTTTCAACATCAGCATCGTTTCCAGTTTCACCGTTCCTCCTTGTTCTAAACGCCCATTGGATGATGGTTATTTTTTGTTCACCTCCAAAAGGGAGAACCTTTTTCTTTTACGCACTAAAACACAATGATCGTCGCCATGGCCTGGACAAGCTTCCTCTTTTCGATTGCAATCCCTTTGTTAGGTATAACAAACAAGGTTGACTGTAGTTAAAGCTGCATTGGTGGCCAATAATAAAGCATCCATTGGTGTAACCCAAAATGTGTCTCCATCATCATCACTATGGTGTCAATCTCAACTTTGAATACAGGCTTCTTGAAGTAACATTGCTAACATGACCAACTCTAATGCACAAACAAGCACCTTGGAGTCATTTACTACTAGGCTTGGTCTTGGATGGCAAATAGCTAAAGTCACGCCACAATGGGTTGTCGTCGTAAAAGATGATTTGACGATCCCAAAGGAAAAGGGTTCTCGACACCCTGCGGAGTCATCATCGGGCCTCTTTGCAAAAAAGAACTCATATTACTGTTGATATTGAATTCATTATGCATTATAGCAAAGACTTCTTGGTTTTTTTTTTTTGCCTAGATTAAGTAAATTTCTCAAGAAGGCCGCCATGACCATATTATTGTGTCCCGTTGATGATGCACGGTCTCCATCAGGTTAACGTTCTCGACCATCTTGGCAAACTAAAATTACGCTAGTACATTGTAGTTGTTATCGCTTGCCTATGTATACCCCGAACACGTCTTTTGTTGGGGTGATAACAACAGCTCGGGTAATAGAATGACAGCTGTAGTAGTGATGATGTTAATCCTTGAATTGATGCTGCATATGCTTGTGGTGGTCCACCCCAACATGGCTTTCATCCACCCTACTACACCGCCTATGACAGCTTTAGATTACTTTACATCATGAGCAATATGGGTTTTAATGGGCTCTACATCATATCACAGCATCCATGCAGTAGTAGAGCAGGTCTCTCAGCTGTCTCTAGGACAATGTGAGCCTCCCTTGTAGCATAATATCAACAGGTTTAAATACATATCCTCATTATACAATGTTCACAAAGGTACTTGTAGACATGATTTTTTTCATCCACTGTATTTGGCGTTAACAACAAACCTTGAGAAGGTGACTCTACATCTAAACTAATTAACCCACGGTTCTGCCCCCTGACTTGAAAGGATATTGCCAAACGCTCGGACGAGCAACCTATTAGGTATGAGAAGCCCAACATTTAGATGCCTTTGGGAAAACGGCTAGATGATCAAAGCATCCTTAGGAATGGTTTGTTGATGATTTGAATGTTGCATCACGTACTTTTGGCCAAAAAATATTTCCCGCTTCATCAATCATTCTGGGATTGGCTAGTAAAAATTGACTACAATGTTGATATTGCTATAGGTAATGTTGGCTGGCAACATCGACCCGAGATTGCGTTTCGGCATATGCTCTTTCATTCAGTGTATGGCATGGTTTGTGTGTTGACTAGGATACTAGGATTGCATTGATGATGGCTGTGCAAAATCCATCATCTTGCCACAAATCGGGTTTGGTTACATGACCGTGGTATCATTTAACAAAGCGAAGCCTTCATTTCACGAGTAAGGAACAACATGGTGGTCTTGACAATGATCGAAGACGATATAAAAAAGAATCAGCTATTAGCATTTCAACCTTGGGATACATGTAAAAATGCCGACCATGACTCCAGCAGAAACCACCACGTGCATGAAATATGTTCCATGACGACGAGCAATAATATCAATGCAGCATCCCTACTAGCTTAAACAATAGCCATTCATGCTATGCATCCTCATAATCCCGGGTGTGGTTCTCTCTAGGGATTACCTGAATAGGGTATAGGTGGGTTGCCTGAGACATAGGTAATACTTTGTGCACCAAGCTTCTTTACCAGTGAAAGCACAATTAATGATTAATAAAAGAAAGAAATCACCATGTGGCAAAAAAGATCTGCATCGAGTGTTCATGCGTTGAATTAATGCTGCGTAATATTGGGGTTGACTTACCCCTGAATAGCACACGGGTCATTAACTGATTATTGGGAATCACCACTTGTTGAGTGTGTGTGTGTGTGTGCCTTGATTGTTTGAAACATGCATCCCTTTCATGCAGGGTGGAAGTTTTCCTTGTTGGATAGCTTTCTCCTTCCCACACACATTCCCCCATGCTACTACGCCTACTATTACCACCCTATCTTTATGATAATGTAGGTGTGTATAGGTGTATACACTAGTATCCTTTTCTCCCTTAGCACCTTGTACTCCCGTTGTTGTTGTATACTTTGCATTGCGCATCACAAATCCCGACGGCCAAGGTGCCTCTGTTTGTCACACCTAAGCACCAGATGTGGGGTGAGATGCTACCGAGCCGACTCATGTATGGTAGACGACAGCAAGTGCAGCAGCAATAATAGCAGCAGGCGTTTGGGATCTGTACTTGACTAGGGCGCACAGAATGCTTGCCATGCAGACGCCACCCATTCCTTTTTACTTGTAACCCTCTCTCTCTCTCTTCCTTCTCTCCTTTCTCTTTTTCTTTCTTTCTTTCTTTCTTTTCTTTCTCCTTTCACTGCTTGCTTTCTCTACGATAGCATAACACAGAGCCATTTCATACTTGGCCATGTCAAAAGTTCCAGCAATCAATACCCAAGTCCAACGTCAACGTGCTTCCCAATTCACTTCCGAATCAGCACCCGGGCCACTTGACCAAGACAATGTAGCATTGCATAAAGACACAACACTTTACGAGCAAGACGAGCAAGATGACTTGGACGAGGAAGACGAAGACGACGACGATTCAACGTTCACTTCTTCTCCCAGTATCCCTGACGAGAATATCAATTTCGACTTGGTGTACGCGTTACACACATTCGTAGCAACCGTAGAGGGACAAGCATCCGTTTTCAAAGGAGACGCCCTGACATTGCTGGATGACTCCAACTCATATTGGTGGCTCGTTAGCGTTCTCAAAACATCCGAAGTGGGTTACATCCCTGCCGAGAATATTGAGGTACCTTTTTGATTCATTTAATATTGAAGGGTGTTAATTTATGTACTCTATTAGACTCCATTTGAGCGCTTGGCACGACTTAACAAGCATCGTAATGTCGAGGTTTGTCAATATTGGGGATGAGTTGTTTATCATCTTGTTAAAACATTGCTTATCATAGGTGACTGCAATGGATCAAGCAGTGCATTATATTCCTCAAGCATCCAAGAATAGCACGGCGACTGGTAGCAAGATGCCGAAACGAAGGGTGACCATGAATAAGGATTTGAATGTTCAAGTACAGATCATCTTGGTGGGTGATGATGGAGAGCAACAAGTTGGAGAAGCATACGAAGAATGGGAGGAAAGCATGGTGACCGAATGCAGTGATGATGATGATGACGACGACGACGACAATGATTTTGAAAGCATGGATGAAAAGGAGCAAGAACAAGACGACATCGGAGTTCATCATGATTCTTTGCAGCACCGTGCCTCACATCAGGAGAGTAGTACCACAACCGCAACAGCAGCATCGGTGTCACAGCAACAATCATTACCTGATAGCAACACCACAACATCGTCTAATTCTTCTACCTCATCCACTTCTACGCCACCTAATGCAATCTCGACTCCTTCAACAATCAACAACAACAACAAACAGCCTACTTCAGGAACAACAACAACACCAGTGGGTTCATTATGGCGACTATTTTCTCGGGGCAAAAAGGATAACAATATCAAGCCCAGCTCTGTTATTCCCGCTCGTGTCTCATCGGAAGATGCCGATAGTGGATCCGTTTCTTCACTTGCCTCTTCGGTCATATCCGAAGATAGAACAGCCCCTCGCAACCATCATGCAACAAGCAGCAACAACAACAACAACCAACTTGCTGTCCTCCGTGTATTTGCAGGAAACGTCAATGTAGGGGCCATGTATCACTCCATGCTAGTTGATGAGAATACCAGTGCCGAGCAGTTATTGATCCAAGCTATGGAACGCTTTCATATTGCACAAATTGAAAACAAGGCTTCAGGTGGTGGACGATCATCCTCTCGTACTATTACACCTACCAATGGTAGTGGAGTGGAATATTATTTGACAGTCAAGCCCATGAATGGAGGTAAAGAGGAGGAGGAGGTTTTCTTGAATGCATGTATAGGGTTATATAACAAGTATTCTTCTCCTTTTAGATGAAGTGACATTGGCACCACAAGATAAACCATTGGCCATCTTTCGCTCTATGACTGATCAGCTGACAACACCCATGCCATCATTGGCACATGTCAAAAAGTTCTCCCAGCAATTTGCATCATCGACTTCTTCCACTGATTCTCGAAGATCGACCTTATTACATCAGCGACAGCAACAACATGGCAGCGGAGAAGATTCCATTATTCGATTCTATTTGCATAAACGTATTCGACGAGTCAACGAACGCGAAGGCCAAGTGTATGTCAAAGTGTCACTGTATACCAACAACACCAACAAACAAGGCACCACCGCTACCAGCAACAACAACAACAGCAGCAGCATCCCATCAGCATTTTCAGCAGCCAAAAGTTTGAGGCGTAAAAAGGTTGAACCAAGTGAAGCTGCTCGAGAACGCATTGACAAGTTGATTGCCGTATCATCCACTGTGACGATTGCTGATCTCACTGAAATTGCTCTTGACAAGTTTCATATTGTTCCACATGGAGACAATGATCATTATCGCATGGCAGTTTCAACACAACATACCCAAGGTAAGTAACGACATCACTTTACCAAAGTCTTCATTATGCCAAGTTGCTCACATGTTTTTATAATAGAGAAATCACTCAATCCTTCCACCAAAGTGATCGAAGTCTTGCATGATGATGCACCTGGCAGTACCCGAGACAATGGAGAGAAGCTCTTCACACTACGAAAGATGCATGGCCCATCTCGATCATCCTCTCGTGAAGGACAACAACGATCTTTACAACATGCACTCAAGACAACAACAACATCACGAGTAAGCAATCATCAGCAAGGCCGGTCCTCGCCCATTCCTGTTACTCAACTTGATACCAAAATACGCGATGTATTACAACGAGTGGATTCAGCACTTGAACAACTTGGCCATGACAATAACAACAACAACAACAAACGAGCTGGATCCTCAAGCAATTCATCATCATCATCATCATCCCCCATATTAGCTGTGGCACGTAATCCCGAAGGAGGTGTGGATATGATCTTGGCGCATGGTGCCCTTATCAGCAAACCATTGGCTCGAAATCAGACTCAATACTCATTACTCGCCAAGGTGCCTGACGAAGATCGACTGTGTCTTGCTGCACAAAAGGTTGTTCAATTACCAAGCCAGCGAGCTGTCAGCACTCAGTTGAAACATGTGACAGAGCAAGATCTCGATTCACTTGCACGATTTGCTACTACCTACATTGATACCCATGATCGAAGCAAGATCAGCCGCAAACCCTTGGTGGCTACTACTAGTAGTGCTACTCAAGGCCTTAATGAGGATCCCAATTCAGCACCATCATTAGACGTCCTAGGTGGAAACGGTGGACAAATGTCGAGCATGGATGATTTGGAAAAGGTAACATGATTGATCATGAACCACTACACACACAGTTATGACATTGGAAGCTCATTGTGCATTTGATGATAGGAATTCCAACGCATTATTGCCGCTCATGCCTTTTAGGTTACACGATTTTACCCCAAGACAAAGATGATCATGCATCTGCTGTAGAATACCTTTTCAATAACATTATTCAAATATCCAAGAAACAATATATATATATATACTATGTTCATCATTCAAAGACAGCTACAATGACTTTTTCCCTCTACGTAGTTGGGTCATTTCTTTGTTATATATATCATCTTGGCTATAAACTGTGCAACCTGCAGCCATATACTAGCCCAATCGCCGGATTCGGAGTGTACTTGACGTCCCGTGAGAATTGGTCTTGTCAATGGGAATAGAACCATTGTATGGCTTGCTCCACAATTTAAAGGTAGCGAGCATGCTTGGGCTACTTTACACGATAAATGTTCATATATAGCATCGTTGTTATAGCCCTATTGGTAAGTACGCACAACCTAATGGAATGATGATGACTATAATATCACACATCTCAAACTCCTCTATGAATACGCCAACAAAGCATTTTCGCACGAAGTATTGGTGCGATGTACCGACCAGCATCGTTATGTAATATACAATCTGGCCTGAGAAGAAGTATGTCCCATTCACTGCCGCCCTAATACCCTCCACTCTACTCCTTCATATTTGATCTTCTTTCTCCCATCCCTTTTTTCTTTCTTCTTTTCACAAAGACTTCACTCCAACACCATGGTGACCTTGACAATGGATAAGCAGACAATCGAAATCCCAAATGATGTGCCTGGCGAGTCGCGTAAGTGATATCTATGGCTTTTCCTTGTCTCCCACCCATTTTTTCTTTCATTACTAAAGCTATCCATGTAGCGATTTTGAGACGCACACCTGAGTTGATGGATTCATTTGTGCCTGGTATCAACAATCTCTATGATCTCTTTTATAATGGTAGGTTGATGAACAATTCATTGCGTGTCAAGGTGGGGAGGGAAGGATCTAAAATTAAAGCGACGATACAATTTTAGGCTACAAGCTATCTCGCGACCAACCATGTCTTGGAGAAAGACCCATTCTCGATCGAACAACGGGTGAACGCGCCAAGCATTTCGAATGGCAGACCTATGAACAAGTTGCTGAACGTGTGGACAACTTTGGCAGTGGCCTTAAGCATGTGTTACAACAAATCGGTGAGACGCGTCCCAAGCAGATCCCCATTGGCATTTGGTCCGTGAATCGTCCTGAATGGCATATCGTTGACTGGGCATGTGCTGCTCACAGTCTTTATGTGGTGGCTCTCTATGATACATTGGGTCCTGATACGGTGGAATACGTGGTGAATCATGCTGAAATCCAAGTCGTTGTATGCAGCAAGGAGCACGTTACCGACCTCCTCAAGCTCAGAAGCAAGCTACCTCAACTCAAGGCTATTATATCGTTTGATACATTGGAGAAGGAACAAAGTCAAGCATTGCATGCATGGGCTGAAGAGAAGGACTTGTTGTTGGTGGAATTTGCAAACGTTGAACAGCATGGCAAGGAGAAGCCTGTACCCCACAATCCAGCTCAACGCTCTGATCTCGCTTGTATCATGTACACTAGCGGCACCACAGGCAAATCCAAGGGCGTCATGCTCACTCAAGGCAACTTTGTGGCAGCTGTCAGTGGAGCTATCTACAATGTCAAGTCATCTCCAGCTGATGTAGGCATATCCTATCTTCCCCTTGGTAAGTAATAAGAAAACGCGTGATGAAATGGGAACTGGTATACTTACAACAACATTGTTAAATAATAGGCCACATCTATGGTAAGATTGTAATGGATGAAAATGCCAACGATGGATCATGACTTATACAAAATGATATCACAGGTCGAGTGGCGGATGCATTTACAGTGGCAGGTGGAGCGAGTTTGGGTTTCTTCAGTGGAAAGATCGACAATCTTTTCGAGGATATGCAGATTTTAAAGCCAACACTCTTCAACACGGTGCCTCGTTTATTGAATCGTATATACGCTGGTAAGCTTTTTTACAAAAGAAGGAGAAATACAACGGTATTCATCATGAGTGACATTTACAGGTATTGTACAAAGTACACTTCAAGCACCAGGTATGATGAAGAAATCCCCCGCGTCATAAATATGGAATAGCTCACTGAGAATTGCCCATGTAGGACCAAAAGGAGCGCTTTTCCGCAAAGCTATTGCTACCAAATTGGAGAATCTTGAACAAGGCAAAGGCACGCAACACCCTGTGTACGATCGACTCTTATTTGACAAGGTGCGTCAGGTGCTTGGTGGTCGTGTACGCTTCATCAATACTGGTGCTGCTCCTTTGGGCAAGGAAGTTATGCAACTTTTACGTGTCACACTACTTGCAGATATCCGAGAGTCCTATGGGGCCACAGAAAGCAATGCGACACTTACCATGCAGATCGAAGGAGATCCGAAGCCTGGTTGTATTGGCATCCCTGCTCCTTGCAACGAGATGAAATTGGTTGATGTGCCCGAGATGAATTATCTAACCACCGACAAACCATATGCACGCGGTGAGATTTGTGTACGAGGTTATAATGTCAGCTTGGGATATTACAAAGATGAGGAAAAGACCAATGAGGCTTTTGACAAGGATGGATTCTATCACACGGTAAGGATATTCATCATGATGACTATATGCATGATTCTCATTTATGCTGTATAGGGTGATATCGGCATGATTGATGAGCGTGGAACCTTCATGGTGATTGATCGCAAAAAGAACATCTTCAAGCTATCTCAAGGCGAATACATTGCACCTGAAAAGATTGAAAACATCTATGCACGTGATATTCTGGTGTCGCAGATCTTTGTATACGGCGATTCTGTGCAAAGCTGTTTGGTGGCTATTGTCGTACCGGATCCACTTGAACTCGGCAAATTGGTCCAAGAAAAGCTGCCCAAGTTCGCATCGCTTAGTTATGAGGAGTTGTGTAATAACCCCGAGGTTCATATCGCTGTCCTTGAACGCATGACGGAGAACGGCAAGCGAGCTGAAATGCGTGGATTTGAATTCGTCAAGGCTATCCATCTCGATTCAAAGCCTTTCACTGTCGAAAACAACCTGCTTACACCATCGCTCAAACTTAAACGACCCGAAGCTCGCAAATTCTTCCAAAAGGAGATCGAACAGCTGTACCAAAAGCTCGCCAATCCATCAGCTGGCAGTGCTGCTCGTTTATAAAGGATGGTGGTTCAACATGTGTGAGAAGTGGTTCCCACTAGGCATAGATGATCTATTATTACTTGACGACTAAGCCATTGAATAAACCCATAAACGATGTACCTTTAGCAAGCTGCCTACGTATTCTTCTTCTATTAGCATTTACACGTCGATGATACATGCTAACTTGATGCACGTGATCCATTGCTCTATCGTCTGCAAGGCAAAAACGAGACTATACTTATATTACCTACAACAAAAGATCCTTGTAGCAGGCTTGTTTTTGGTAAGATCACTTTCTGGTCAACCACGACTTCCATTTTTATGTATGAACAACACTTCCCATGCACGTATACGGAGTGATGTACTCTATCTTATGACTGTACTAGCTCAGTCAAATTAGCTCGGATCAAGAAACTTGGATGATGGAAATGCTCGGCTGGAGCAGGAGAATCGTTCACATGCATTGGTTTGGGCAACAATGGTGAATGGGAGGAATGGGCTATTAGCTCGCTGTATATGGACTATTGTGGATAGCCATAAAGTATAATCCATCAATCCTTCCAGTCATGCAAAGTAGCTGTGTTACACGAACACGACCCTCTGCATCTTTGGCTCTGGCAGGGTCCACCTACTTGACAATGAACAAAGACCACTCTTCATATAGCATCACGCTTACAAACATAAAGGTACCTGTATCTCCAAACTTTACAATGAAACGTGGGCTCTTTAATAGATCAACGTGCTTGTCGGGTTCAAAGGAATCTTGTGTCAAAGTATGAAGTTCATCGTGGGCGATCCCAGATTTCGCAATGTCGCTACCAGCCAAACTGGATCTGGGGGTCGACCTCTTCGACGACGACGACCAAAAAATATTTTTTGGGCTGTTTGCGACATTGAACTTGAAACTTTCACACAAGGTGCTGTTGGCCAAGCCGAGCCCATTGCTCTATTCAAAACCCCACGTTTCATTGTAAAGTTTGGAGATACAGTCACCTTTATGTTTTACCTATGCTGTAAGCGTGGTGGAGTTGCTTTCTCCTAATGGATGGTGTCGGCTGCATTGACGGAAAGATGAAGAGCTGAGCGAAATGGCACGTGATGGTTACACAAACACGTCCTTGATAGGTTGGTGCACAAATGGATGATGATGATGATTGCTTTTAGGAAGGTACGCAAGTAAACAAGGTCCAATAAAGAGGATGTATCAAGGTGACGGCCTATATATGCGTATTTATTATGGATGGATGCATATATCTATGTTGGGTGTGTGGGAGTTGAGCTGCATAAATGATGCGCACGGGCCTAATTGATGCCAGCTCGGGCCAAAGTAAAATCATGAATAGCTTGATTACCATGGCTACGCTCAAGAAGACTCTCTAGTTGTAGCTATTCAAATTCATCCAAGTGTTATAGGATACACTTGATGTACACATTAACAACAGCAGCTGTAGTTGGCGGGGGATGACTTGGTTGTATAAATTCAGGTCGCCAGGGGAACAAGAAAAAGAGCAGCGTCTTCTCCTTTTCCGTTTCACAGTGTAAGGTAAGGTTGTGTCCATATACAAAGTACAAAGCCTTAACTGCTGTCATGACCTTCCATGCACAGCGTCAATGAGTGAACAGGTGGTCAATGGCGACACTTTCCAGTTGCAGACATTCAATACCACGTACACGCACGATCTACCCATGACTGCAGCTTCCCATTCCCAACACAACATGTACGTTCAATCGCTACATTACTTTATTACATATAATTGGCTGCTGTGATACTAAAAGTTCATTTGTAGGTTATCGCTGGTGTATAGATCCAAAGGGACGTCGTGTGTATTCTTCTTTCCATGGTTGACAACAAGGGGATGTCCCTAGCACTCCTTTACATTACTTCTTTGGGTATGGTGACAAGTGAAGCAGATGTTACGGTTGTCATCTTACGCTGCATTTGTTATAGCTTGAACTTGTTGGATGATGGTACCTGTGGCAGAAAGCAGATATTTGATCTCAAAGTACAAGTCATGGTGTGCATCGTTTCATTGGTACGCATAGTATTGGATCTACAAAACAAGTGCTGTTGATTAATGAGCCTTACAATGAAACAGCAGCTGAAGCACAATATGGTTGGCATGGAGATACACTTGTTTGGGGAGCAAGGATGCTATTGGAAAATACCTTGAGGTAAAAAGGCGTTCATCCCGGAATGGTCACGTGCAAATGGATTTAAAGAAGGTATGCAAATGTTGGCAGGATCAAGAAGGCCTTTCCTACGTCATATTACCATTGCCACTTAGCACTTCAAGGGTGTCATCATTGTCCTCTATTGTTTCGGGGAGACGACCATGTTGCTTTAGCGGGAGTCGGCGCCATTCACTTGCCTAAATTGCATCCTCTGTTCGTGTACGATGGATTACCAAGAGGACGGCGACAATGTCTTTCTTGTGTGACTTGGACAACATCTCGGAAGAAGATACACGCATGTCAAAAATGCTATCACGCAAGCCGGCGTTTGGATACAATCAATCACACCAAGGCTCTTCAGACTTATCACTGATGAAGATGCCACACCAATTTATCAGTCTATCAGCATTGCCAGCAACTCTTTTCTCCTTGTTTGTGATTACAGTAATGCCCACGCCCACCATGCAAATATGGACAAGGTGAATGTTGTCGCCCATCGTTTTACTCCCACACATCTCTTTCTTCCATCATACTACTACTCTTTGATTGCTGGAACCTCAAAGCCCTTGGTAAGTATCATTGTGGATGGACCTCTTTCTGAGCGATCCATGTACTCATATTGCGATGATCGTTAGCCTTTCATTGTTATCCTACTTCCATTCTCTTGTTGTCATTGTGATATTTGGCTCTTTGGATAAGGTAAGATCCTGATCATCTTGCTTGAATGAAGCATGTACTCATATCCTTTTTTGATTTAGCTACCTCTCGAGATATATGCAACGCTGGATGAGATTGCGCGCCGCAACCCACATTGGGGGGGGGTGATATGACAGCTTCAGCGTCTTTTACTGATGGCCCAGTGTCAAAGAGGTTGAAGCATAACAAAATGGAGGTTGCGGATGTTCAATCGTATTCCTTGGTGATCGTCGCGCCTTATCCAAGCACAC